AAGTATAAAAGATACAGCCATTTCCGACCACAGATCTTGAAAATAATTGTTTACATTTTAGTTTATATTGTATAAAAAAATTATTTGACGTCATAAACACCCCTTGATGACGTCATCAAGTTAACCGTTTTTAAAACTTGATTTTCGACAAAGTAATAACTTTAAAAATTGATTTTACACCATTTAAAAGTGATTTTTTTCAACATCTGAGGAAATTTTCATCTTAGATAATTGTTCAAGCATTCTGAAAATCTACCGGAAAGTTTTCTTATCTTACTCCTTCATAAAGATATTTGCCTTTGAAGTTTGTGCTTTTTTGAAAAATTATTTTATAAAAACGTCAATTTTGCGATTTAGTATTCTCTGGTGTTGGGCTATCCCTTGGGTTGTGGAGCTCAGTTCTGCTTCCTATAGGTATAAATTGTGCATTAGGCTAGTTTTAAAGTTAAAAATCGAAAAGTTGCACACGTGGGGACACGCCGAAATTGATTAAAAATTGCTAAAATCACTGAAAATTTGTGTTTTCACGATTTTTATCAACTTTGGAGTCCCGTTGTGATCCAAGTTCTATTTGAAATCTTTTGAAACTTTGCACGCTTATCAAACTATATATAAAATACCGCTATGCAAAAATTTACGGCGATTCAGTATTGGATGCGCACGCAACAACCGCTCAAAGTTTGCACGTGCGAACGGTGAGAATTTTGCTCATTCGTGGTTTCGAACAAATTCTGCTTTACCACGACAGTTCAATGTCATTATATATGAATTTAATGGCAACTTGAATGATTATAATGTTTTATGTTCAGTCAGTGATAGACCGATATGCTTACCTAAACACAAGGAAATGTTTTTAAAGGACAAATTTTTTTTCGTTAAAACTTCCTCCTTATTAATGAAGACATCAGTTTATATTTCGACTTTATAAAGTACCCTGACATTATAATCAAAAAGAGATGATATTTGACCAAAACCCATAATCATGGGTAGAGTGGACCGCTGCCAGTGTCTCTCTTTCCCAAACAAAAGGAAATGATATTAATTTGATTGACCGTTCTCAAATGCAAGATGATACCGAGAATGAAATCGGTCGCTCGCTTTTCCCATTCATTTACAATTGTAATAGATTAAGAAGAACTACCCGAAGGCAGCTGTACTCAGCAATAAAGAATCAATAAACTTCAGCTAATTCACTAACTACCAGTACCACCCTTATCCCGAAATACTAGGTATATCGACCCGAACGCAACCCAAAGAGATTTTTACAGCATGTGATTGATTGTAAGCCGTGAATGAATGGGAAAAGCGAGCGACCGATTTCATTCTCGGTATCATCTTGCATTTGAGAACGGTCAATCAAATTAATATCATTTCCTTTTGTTTGGGAAAGAGAGACACTGGCAGCGGTCCACTCTACCCATGATTATGGGTTTTGGTCAAATTATAGTTATACTGGTTAGTAAAACTTAATTTATTATTATACTGTTTCTTATTATGGTTGCTGCAGTTTCCTGTGTTTTGTTTTTAAACGAAGCAACTAACTCTAAGTATTAAGTTAAAATTTAATGTTTAGGAATAGGACCGAATTGACCGCGTTACGTTTTCGCACAGTCTTTAGTTTATACTTTTATGTATGTACTTATAGTGGTTCATGAGTATTACTATTACATATTATATCATACTCATGAACGGAGTCACAAACAGCTCTTAATCTGGTAAATCGGGCTGACCGGCCACGGGTTTGTTGTATGATCAAGAAATTCTGTGATGATTTATATCCGTGACTTAGCAATAAAGGTATTACTATTCACTATTCACAAAACAATGACTGATAAGATTCATCAAGACTGCATGTGGGGTGCACTGTTATAAATTACGCCTGAGTCGTTTTATTTTAAATGTGACACGTATCGATCTTACGTTTTCTCCCTACAACTCGAACCCTCGACAACATGTTCATGATTTTATTTTCTGCTATAATTTCCCATGTCCATTCTGAGGGGGAGCAACGTGCTCTCCGATTCGGACATACAGTCGAGGACTACATCCTGCTAGAAAGATGGTATAATGGATACATCAACATCACAGTTTTCTGTGTGCACTTGGGTCAAGAATAGATTTGATTCAAAATATCCAATAGTGCTGAACTACTATGATAATTACGAGATAGCTCTCGGTTCCCCCGGCTACTTATACAACTGGGTGGTAAATACTAATCTCATACTGAGGGATGAGTACAATGTTCCTGATGGTGAGTGGTTCCACCTCTGCTGGACCTGGACTACCTCTACCTACATCCTCACAGTCTACCTTAATGGAGATGTAATAGGATCTGGAGCTACTAATGAGAGGGAGCTAGAGACTGGTGGGAGGATGAGTTTGGGAAGCAATGCATATGGAACACCAGCTTACATCTTTGGAGGTGATATGTTCAAGTTGAACATTTATAGTAGAGTCCTCAGTTCCTCTGAGATACAAAGAATGTCATCTGACATGTGCTCTGTGGAGGAGGAGGTACTCACCTCTATTAAAATTCTAAGTTGGGAGGAGATAGTGCTAAGTGAAAATAATGGATCAGTGACAAAGATCCCATTCAGATGTATTCTCGCTGAAAACAACATGCAGGATCTAACAGCAATCAAGCAGGATCTAGCAGCAACCAAGCAGGATCTAGCAGCAATCAAGCAGGATCTAGCAGCAATCAAGCAGGATCTAGCAGCAATCAAGCAGGATCTAGCAGCAATCAAGCAGGATCTAACAGCAATCAAGCAGGATCTAGCAGCAATCAAGCAGGATCTAGCAGCAATCAAGCAGGATCTAACAGCAATCAAGCAGGATCTAGCAGCAACCAAGCAGGATCTAGCAGCAATCAAGCAGGATCTAGCAGCAATCAAGCAGGATCTAGCAGCAATCAAGCAGGATCTAACAGCAATCAAGCAGGATCTAGCAGCAATCAAGCAGGATCTAGCAGCAACCAAGCAGGATCTAGCAGCAATCAAGCAGGATCTAGCAGCAATCAAGCAGGATCTAGCAGCAATCAAGCAGGATCTAGCACAGCAATCAAGCAGGATCTAGCAGCAATCAAGCAGGATCTAGCAGCAATCAAGCAGGATCTAGCAGCAACCAAGAGTGAGTTATTTTATAACTTTCTATCCTATTCTACCATTGATAGTGATAATCCCCAAATCTTTCTAAATCATAATCCAAACCAGGCAACTCCTATAATACTTTTATAATCTAATGTTATAGTCTTGCTTGATAACACATTAATTAACGTGTAATTATTTTCAGAACTGCATCTAACTCTGATAACTGTGTTATCAGTTATTTTCCTGATTCTCCTGACAATTCTTCACCACAAAATGGTGGAAACAAAGAGAACAAACCAGCCCGTTGTCATGAGTGAACTTGCCAGAGAAATTCCCAGTGTACGAGGACAAGAGCCAGGTGAAAAGAAGGAAACTGGAGTGCTCCCTGGTAACCTGGTAACCTGGTAACTGGAGTCATGCTCCCTGGTGCAGAGGAATACGACACAGTTGATAGCTATGAGATATTTGAAAACTTGGACTCTGTTAAGTAGTAAGTCAGCTATAAGTTGTGGAATTCGAAGAAAGTTTAATTCTTTTACCGGCCTTATTTTAATTAAGTGATGAAATATTTTAAATCACTAAAGGTACATTTTAGGTTTACTGGGCCGCGCTCAACCTGTCATTCCGCCAAATCTTTATTCGTTTATGAACATAATAGCCTGGGGTCCCCAGGTAACTTTTAGGTGAAATTGCATGTATTAGATTTTATCAACGTTAATTCATATCTTGTTCTGATCCGACGGTAGGGATCTTTCTAGAATCATACAGATCATATTCAACATTCTCGACCATATCTTTGCTACAATTGATAAAGTTTTATTTATTGATTGACCCTAGCGAGTGATTCATATCTATCTGATTGTAATCAATTGTAAATATAAGAATCTGGAAGCTTCCAACGGGAATTATATAACTGATTTACCTGTTACATACTATTACTACCACAGTATCACGTGATATCAAAACAAATTTCCATTGTAACTATTTCATATTAGAGCGATTTGATTATTTGATTTCCCGGACGAATTGAATAATAATACTATAAATAGGAATAAATTGAGTATTTACAATTTCCCTGTAAGGCTATAGTATAATAATTTTCACTGCAAAAATGTACGAGCAGGGCCCCATAAAGGAGGAATTCATTTTATAACTTAAGAATAAAACAAAGTTTATCAGAAAGTCTTACAGGTGCATAAGCTTTATATAAAGTCAAAATGTCCACAGAAAAAAATTAATAACCCCATTGTCACAGGATCAGAGTCTCAATAAAATCAATTATAAATAGTTACCAGGTTACCAGGTTACCAGGTTACCAGGTTACCAGGTTACCATGTTACCAGGTTACCAGGTTACAAGGTCACCAGGTTACCCGGTTACCAGGTTACCAAAATGTCCACGGAAACAAAAATTAATATCCCCATTGTCACAGGATCAGAGTCTCAATAAAATCAATTATAAATAGTTACCAGGTTACCAGGTTACCAGGTTACCAGGTTACCATGTTACCATGTTACCAGATTACCAGATTACCAGGTAACCAGGTAACCAGGTAACCAGGTTACCAGGTTACCAGGTTACCAAAATGTCCACAGAAACAAAAATTTAATTTCCCAATGTCACAGAATCAGAGTCTCAATAAAATCAATCATAAATAGTCTCCACTCTACAAATCAAAAGCTATTTCATCTTAATAGTATTAATCTTTATTCGCTCTTATAAGTGGGTCAATCATACAATTTGATAGTTGGGGACGATGTGAGAGTCTCACTTCGTCCCCAACTATCAAAATATTAATACAGAAAGCTAACAATTCGGACATTCGATTGGTTTTAGTTGTCCTTCATAATCCATAGTCATTTCCATGGCAACAAGATCCCATTTGATGGTACCGGTAGTTAAAATACAAACTCAGCATTGATCTCTATCATCTTCTGTCATGGTAGAGTTGTCAACCTATAAACATAGTAAAGATAACTGCTTGTATCATAATTAGTCGCTCCAACGCAGTTTTACTACACATATTACGTGCGGGAGGTGTTAGTTTGGAAATCTTTTTAATCTTTACACAATTATAGTTGTTATTATAGTTGTTAATATAGTTGTTATTATAGTTTTTATTATAGTTGTTATTATAGTTGTTATTATAGTTGTTATTGTAGTTGTTATTATAGTTGTTATTATTGTTGTTATTATTGTTGTTATTATTGTTGTTATTATAGTTGTGTGTAAAATGGATTGTGGAAAAGAAGGAGGGCTAAAATAGCAAAAATAGCTGGCTTATGTGAACGATCCCTTAGTACAACAGGTTAATGAGGCTGAAGGTAAGCATCCATTAATCAAATTTAGCATATCAATCAATTGATTAATTAAATAATTTATTAAAACAAGGCGACCTAATTATACGTTATACATACCATGGCTGTGCTGTCGTCTTCTAGCACTAGTTTAGCAATTGTAGCGTCTATATCAATCTTCAGTTGAACTGATGCGGACATGTCAGGAATAAGAACGTCTATCAGCTTCACTATCCCGAACACTATGTGCTGAATACATTGTTTTAAATAAATAAATTAGATTGATTTATAGATGTGGATACTCATGGGGAGGTGATACATATTTGTATTATAGAACTAAACGTATTATAGAACTAAACGCTTGTAATCATTTGTAACCCCCCCCCCCCCCCCCCCCCCCCCCCCCCCCCCCCCCCCCTTTGAAGGCCCCGAATTATTTTCTTTCAAAATATGCAACTTATTGGCAACTTGGCAAAACCATTGGCTGAATAAATTAAACACTGAAACTGTTTAACAATTCTATAAAAAAATCCGTAGTATTAGTTAATCAGTGAGAGAATAGGACATAAGCCGATCAGCCCTTATTACTTTAAGTAGATTGAGTAATTAAATATTAAGTAATTATTAATAAGTAACAATTAATAAAGTAATTATAAGTAATTACCTCAAAGAATATGACGAATAGAAGCTGAACGGCGAATAGTTTCCAGAAGAAGAAGTTGTGTTTCCCGTCTCGGTCCCTATACGACCAATACCTGCCAAACATGTTCTTTTATAATCGTACCCAGAATAAGAATTAAGATGTAAATCATATTATAATTCAGCCTACTAATTTCTGCATAGAATACCATTTTCAATTGATTAATAATTCAGCTAAATAATTGTATAAGAATATAAATAATAAAAATATAAGGTATAGAAATAGCTTTTAAGTTCTGCTAAAAAGAGCTTACTTCTGACTAACTGAGGCAGCTGTAGGCTCAGTGTCAGTAGAAGCATAATCCACATATTTTACCTTCCATTTTGTTCCCCTTAAACTTAACAATAAACTTAATGATTTCTGTCACATGTTTACAGATTTATAGTTAAACTAATACCGGCCCTTCATGGCTATTCTCACTCGAACACACACACACACACACACACACACACACACACACACACACACACACACACACACACACACACACACACACACACACACACACACACACACACACACACACACACACACACACACACACACACACACACACACACACACACACACACACACACACACACACACACACACACACACACACACACACACACACACACACACACACACACACACACACACACACACACACACACACACACACACACACACACACACACACACACACACACACACACACACACACACACACACACACACACACACACACACACACACACACACACACACACACACACACACACACACACACACACACACACACACACACACACACACACACACACACACACACACACACACACACACACACACACACACACACACACACACACACACACACACACACACACACACACACACACACACACACACACACACACACACACACACACACACACACACACACACACACACACACACACATACACACACACACACACACACACACAGTACACACACACACACACATACACACACACACCCAGACACCCAAACAACCAGACACCCGGACAAATTAACAACTTTACCTGCAGGTTATATTGAGTCCGGTCATCTCCGGAGAAGCGTAGGCTAAACTGAAGTTAACATATCCACTGAGCCGGTCCTGTAGACCTTGGGCTTGAAATTCGTCTGCATTCTGTGGAATACACTGTTACCATGGTAATATAACTATAGTAACACCATAGTAACAGGAGTACAGATTTAGTCGAACAAAGCAATCTAATATGATCGACCCACTCAGAAGAGCGAAAAAATATAACTAAAATAAATAATATTTATAAGATAACACACTTTAACTTACAATATTTTCTAAGTTTTTGATCAGATTATTGATTTCAAGGTTGAACTAACATCGTAAGCGTAGAGCATCATAGGAAGGAAATCAGAGGAAAAAGCAATGATACCAGCGTTACAGACTATAGCTATCTTCCCTACAACGGACAGGATATCGTACCAAATACCTGACAAATACTGTTACCAGGATACCAGGTTACCAGGTTACCAGGTTACCAGGTTACCAGGTTACCAGGTTAGCAATGATACCCACGTTACAGACTATAGCTATCTTCCCTACAGCGGACAGGATATCGTACCAAATACCTGACAAATACTGTTACCAGGTTACCAGGTTACCAGGTTACCAGGTTACCAGGTTACCAGGTTACCAGGTTACCAGGTTACCAGGTTACCAGGTTACCAGGTTACCAGGTTACCAGGTTGCTATAGCTATCTTCCCTACAGCGGACAGGATATCGTACCAAATACCTGACAAATACTGTTACCAGTTGACACACGCGCGAAGCCGGCCCCTCTCCAGCCGGCCGGCCGGCCGGCGTGCACGAGAGGTATACAACGTGTAGCAAGTTACCAGGTTATCAGGTTATCAGGTTACCAGGTTACCAGGTTACCAGGTTACTATGTTTAAGTTGATAGTTGTAGAACTAACAGTACTTATTTTACCCCGTTATCATCTCCACACATTTAACTCTGGTATGTAGCAGGGATACCCAGAGGCAGGAAGAGCATCTTTATGCTTTCCTCTTGTGAGCCACCAGGCCCAGCCTATCTTTAAAAAGGAAAAAAAAGAAAAAATTACCTATATCCCTGCACTTGAGGCCAGTAGGGCGTCTTAATTGGGCCACGAACTTGAACGCGTCCAATCGTATCTCCAGAAGGTTGTTGACAAGAGCTAGAAGGGGAGCAAGAGGCCACGCTGCTACAAATATCGTCACAAATCCATACTGCAGGGGTTAGGTGAGATTGATATTGCATAGTTATGAAAGGTTACAGACGTTACCACAAGGTACGAACGGGGCTCATTGTAAAATTTGAATGACGACTAGTGAGATTCTATATTGAACATGAACATGAGGTCTCTCCGTACGTGATTAACCAGCATCAAATCTAAAATACACTTTACTGGAAGAAGTTGGTTCACTATCTACAAAATATCAATATTTCCAACTCCACATGATCCTAAAATACAATGACATCTGAATAATCATCTCGAGGTGTAACTATGGTAACTTGTGGTGTAACTATGGTAACTTGTAGTGTAACTACTAACTATGGTAACTTGTTAACCTGTATAATCATCTCCAAATACTCCGCAAACACGTCTCTGGTCTCAGCTAGTTCGTAGTCTCTCTCCCAGGGGGACTTGGTCGCCTTCTTTTGTCCTTCTACTTCTTCTACTTTCTTTTTACACCTGCAGGGATGACGGTTTATTGGAATATTTAACCACTTTTTAACCATCATTCTTATGATATATATTCATAATTGTGATTTTCAATTTCAATTTCGGATCCCGAACGGTGTTTGCTGTTGTTATACTACGGATATGTGCCGCTCTCCTTTACGTTTAAACTACAGTAGAGATAAAAAACCTGTCCCAGCAGCTCCCTTTATTATTGTAACTATGGTAACTAGTATTGTAACTATGGTAACACTACCTGTCCCAGCAGCTCCCTTTATTATTGTAACTATGGTAACTAGTATTGTAACTATGGTAACACTACCTGTCCCAGCAGCTCCCTTTATTATTGTAACTATGGTAACTAGTATTGTAACTATGGTAACACTACCTGTCCCAGCAGCTCCCTTTATTATTGTAACTATGGTAACTAGTATTGTAACTATGGTAACACTACCTGTCCCAGCAGCTCCCTTTATTATTGTAACTATGGTAACTAGTATTAGACAGTTTTTGGGTTTTCCAAATAGTTTCTGATTATTCTGATTTGCGACAAATGATATTGCACTGTTAGGATAAACGACGTTTCAAAGTAACAACTTCTTATTCATGCTCAAATTATTTGTTATATAGTAGTGTTGAAAGTATTAAAACTATGGTAACTAGTATTGTAACTATGGTAACTAGTATTGTAACTATGGTAACACTACCTGTCCCAGCAGCTCCCTTTATTATTGTAACTATGGTAACTAGTATTGTAACTATGGTAACTAGTATTGTAACTATGGTAACACTACCTGTCCCAGCAGCTCCCTTTATTAGATGACATGATAGGAATAATAAACTGAGAGAAGGTGAAGAGGAACTGTTTTCCAGTCAGTATGATCGCCATCTGGGTAGCCAGCTCGGAGATACACCCTCCTGAGGGTCAGTAGTGTTAGAATGCTGGTTTTAACTTTAATCTGTTGATATGTGGCAGGCTGTTCAGGTAGATACGGTAATCTACATCTTATCTGTATAATGAGCTCTTACTTCTTTATGTGAACTAGAAATCTCAGCTCGATCTTAACTTCACACATCGAGTGAACCGAGCACAAAATCTCGTTTAAATAAAAGAAATATTTTCAAACCGACTGAAATTATACACCAACCTGGTGGACAGTCCTCCATCTTAACCCCGAACACTAGAGGGTGGTTGCCGGGGTAACCGTTAAACCTGGGGATATATAGAGGTGGTAACACTATGGGGTGGTTGCCGGGGTAACCGTTAAACTTGGGGATATGTAGAGGTGGTAACACTAGGGGGTGGTTGCCGGGGTAACCGTTAAACCTGGGGATATGTAGAGGTGGTAACACTAGGGGGTGGTTGCCGGGGTAACCGTTAAACCTGGGGATATATAGAGGTGGTAACACTAGGTGGTGGTTACCGGGGTAACCGCTAAACCTGGGGATATATAGAGGTGGTTACACTAGGGGGTGGTTGCCGGGGTAACCGTTAAACCTGGGGATATATAGAGGTGGTAAAAGTCTCAGCAGTGCTCATTGTTTTGTGGTGTTCTCAGTAAGTCCGCCAGGGATATCTTATGCTCGAATCTGTTACTATGGTTACAAGTTGTGTTACTATGGTAACAAGTTGTTTTACTATGGTAACAAGTTGTGTTACTATGGTAACACTCATTAATCTCATAGACTCCATTATCTGAGTTTAATTTGTTTGTACAGTTTTGCATACTACTAACTTTCCTTTAAAGAAACCAATGTATACAAGAGAACTGTAGAAGTTGAACACTTCGAACACATATCTTCTTATTGTTAGAGTATTCTCGTATTCTAACTGAGTCTTGTAGTTCTCCCACTCCGTCATTGTTACGGCAAACTTTCCGTAGTACTGAAATTCAATGGGAACAGCTTATCATTAACAGCAAACTTTCCATAGCACTGAAATTCAATGGGAACAGCGCTATCATTAACAGCAAACTTTCCGTAGTACTGAAATTCAATGGCAAATAGTGGACAGAACTATAAGCCACTGAACACTATATTTCATTAAGCTATGAGACGCAGCATTGAAGATTTGCAGCATTGAAGTTTTTCAGCTAGGGTTTAGACTGACTATACCTGATACCAGGTTACAAATTAACCATCCCATAACACATTTCACTACTGGAAGATCGTAAAAAGTTCCAATTTGCTGATATTTTACGTTATGAATCACGTGCACTACAGCTGTTTACCTTGCTCATAATGATAATGAGAGTTAGGCTCATAATCCCCGCACTAACAGATGAAAACCACCGTGCATATCTCTTCATACTGAGGAAGATGTGTTAATGTGGCTCTTGTGTTGGTTACCAGGTTACCAGGTTACCAGGTCACCAGGTAACCAGGTTACCAGGTTACCAGGTCACCAGGTAACCAGGTTACCAGGTTACCAGGTTACCAGGTTAACAGGTTACCAGGTTAAAAGTTTAACAGGTTACCAGGTTACCAGGTTACCAGGTTACCAGGTTACCAGGTTACCAGGTTAACAGGTTACCAGGTTACCAGGTTTAAAAAACAATTATACAATAAGGGTTTTGGGGGTCAAAAAGTCCTCAAAAGTTGTAAGATGAAATCAAAGCTGTGTGTAAACTGTATAATTTAGTATACAGTTGAATTTAGTAAGACTAAACCTACCTTGGAATATCGAAGAGAGCCAGGTAAACAGCTAGATCGTACACAATAACAGCAACAGCAAACATCAATACACACGCTAACTGAAACATATTACTTTTCTCACTCCAATTAAAGTTTGTATAATGTTATCTCGCTGGTATTCAGGGTTTCAACTTTGAAGATTTATTTAATAATGGAAATGAAGTCATATCTATTATTATAGCATATATATTATAGCACTGAAAGTAGCAAGGAAGCGTGGGTATCGCTTACTAACAATGAATAGAATTAGAATGAAAGTAGTAAGGAAGCGTGGGTATCGCTTCCTCTTGGTCATGTAAGGTTCATGTCTCCTAGTCCGGGGGTTGTACTCCCAGCTGTCACAGGTCTGAGTGTAAGTTGGCCTCACTTGCTCCTGAGAATGTGTGAGTATTGATGATGATTTGATTTAAAACTTTTATCAAATAATACAGAATTATACAGGGTTCACCCTGATTTTGTTGTGAAACTTGGTTTCGAGATAGCAGTTGTCCAACAAACGAGGACCGGTGACCGAACTTTTGAGGGGGTCCCGGACCCCAACCGCCAAACGGTGCCCGCGGGGCAGCCACGCCCATATTTGGTCCAAATTAGGCCCAATTTAGCCCAATACCCTGAACATGCTCAGAAACCAGATTTTAGGTGCTCTTCTTGTAGCTAGTGGTCCCTTAAACTCGTATATGAATTTTCATCAAGATTGGACAAAAAATAACTGAGTTATGAGCCAAAAACCATATGACCATATTTGGGCATACGCACCAAATTTGATCGATTTTGGCCCATAAATTGGTCAAATATCAATATTTTTGAATGAAACCAACTTTATATGGAAGGTAAGCCTATACTACAAATTCTCTATTATTATCAGCTCAGTATCTACCTAACTGTGGATTCTGTGTTCAAATAATCGCAAAAAATGAACAATAGGGTTTCAATATTTTTACATGAAATTTTCAGAATCAACGTAGAATCGCATTTGGACCTTAAGTTTTTTATTGGAATTTTGAGTTAGGCCTTTAAAAAAATTTGGCGGCCAAATTCTGAAAAATGCCTGGCAAATTTTGGAATTAATATCAATATTTTTGAATGAAACCAACTTTATATGGAAGGTAAGCCTATACTACACATTCTCTATGATTATCAGCTCAGTATCCACCTAACTGTAGATTCTGTGTTCAAATAATCGCAAAAAATGAACAAAATCGCCCATATCTCAGTTCGCGATATTTGCGAAATAAACTGATTTCGCTCAAAACAATAGAACTCAATAGGGTTTCAATATTTTTACACGAAATTTTCAGAATCAACGTAGAATCGCATTTCGACTTTAAGTTTTGTATTGGAATTTTGAGTTAGGCCTTTAAAAAAATTTGGCGGCCAAATTCTGAAAAATGCCTGGCAAATTTTGGTAACTCACATCAGATTCATCAAACTTCAGGACTCCCCAGATATGGAAATATTTCAGTTGTTACTATGGTAACAAGTTGTGTTACTATGGTAACTCACATCGGATTCATCAAACTTCAGGACACCCCAGATATGGCCCAGCAAAGCCTGCTTTCTCTTCCATGACTCTAAAAAGTAAGCAACCCAAATAGACATGAACACGCAAAAGAACAGTGTAGCTCCGTTGTTCATCGCCATCGCTGCCTAAGGAAGGTTAATGTTAGGCTAAAGTGAAACTGAAACAGAAAGTGAAACAAGAAAGTCTGGTGTTCACTGACATCGCCATATTAACATTTTAAGAAGATTGATGTTCAGGGTTTTTCTCAGTTCAATTAATTAATTTTCTTCATAGATTTTTGTTTATTTGAAAAAGTTATGGCATGATCAGTGATCACTTACACTAACTGGTACTACCTGGGCGATGCTACAAATACGTTAGGCTAAAGTGAAATTGAAATAAAAAGTGAAAGTGAAACACTAATTACCTTACACTAGCTAGTACTACCTGGGCGATGCTGCAGATATCGGAGATGTAATAAGGTGGGCACCCCTCGTCTTCACACGCAGGGCACATCATATACGTCTTCTCAGAGTTACAGATGTGCTTGCTTACATAGTCGTCACCCAGTCCTGTGCAGTCAGTGGATTAGAAATTATAAAGATCTTTACAATTTAACACATGTGTCTGATCAAAACTGAAGTTTTAAATGAAAATTGTTCAACCAAATTCAGTAAAACCAAAAAATTAAAGTGGTCCTAACATGAAACCTTTAGGATACTCCAGAGCAAATTTTTAAATATTATTTTCCAAATGAACATTATAAAATGAAATATTGTTATACCCATCTGACTGTATCCGAATACAAGGACTCCAACGATAGCAGGGATAAACAGAGACTGTGTGTAAAACCCTGAAAGGAGAACATAGGAGACAATTAGTTTGATTGTAGAAAACTTATTACAATACTTATTACACACCAAACTTCTGTATTATATAATGTTATAATAAGCTCAATAAAGTTTTGTCAAGTTTTGTCAAGTCTTGACAAAACTAAACTTAAGTTTCCCTACCCGTCCATGCGAAGTACATAGCCACCTTCTCCCCGAAGTACATCCGTATCAAGTTGAGAGGTTGGTGTTTGTTCCACCTCCTGAAGCTGGCCCAGTAAAACCTCAGGAGTTGCCGGTGGTTGGAGGGCATGTCGTGTGCTTCTGTAAAGTGAAACAGAAAGTGAAACAGAAAGTGAAACAGAAACTGAAACAGAAAGTTGAGAGGTTGGTGTTTGTTCCACCTCCTGAAGCTGGCCCAGTAGAACCTCAGGAGTTTCCGGTGGTTGGAGGGTATGTCGTGTGCTTCTGTAATAATCAAATGACTTATAGATTCGTCCGGGTGTTTGAGTGAAATATATTATTTATTACCCTTGTTCAAAATACATTTTTCCAGTTTAATTTCGCTACATTTTTTTATATCTCTAACTTGACTCTATTCCAATGCCTGATTTTTGTATACATCCTCAATAACTTTGCAGAGGATTTCATTAACCTGTCTCATAAGGACCATCGTGTAGAGGATAAGCTGCTTTATAAGTACCGTTAGCAACTAACTCATCCACCCCAAAGAACTCCTTGTTACCCTCCTTGTGGTAAGGAGCTTGCTGTAGAAGTCGGTACACCTGCAAAGTTACTATGGTGACTACTACTACTTCAGTTGTTACTATGGTAACAAGTTGTGTTACTATGGTACACCTGCAAAGTGGTAAATCAGTTAGTATTATCAGAAAATATATTACAGTAAGAGAACTGCGGTTTTTTGTATCACATGTGCTAACGGTGATATGAGAATATGTTGAATGTTAAACTTATTTCTTCTAGCAACTTAACTATTGAACAAATTAATAAGTTTATTCAATTTTATGAGTGTGAATATTAAATAACATTATTGATTCTAAATTCTAATTCAAAGATTAAATATCAGTTGTTACTATGGTAACAAGTTGTGTTACTATGGTAACAAGTTGTGTTGCTATGGTAACAAATTGTGTTACAATGGTAACAAGTTGTGTTACAATGGTAACAAGTTGTGCTCCTATGTTAACAAATTGTGTTACAATGGTAACAAGTTGTGTTACTATGGTAACAAGTTGTGTTACTATGGTAACAAGTTGTGTTACTATGGTAACAAGTTGTGTTACTATGGTAACAAGTTGTGTTACTATGGTAACAAGTTGTGTTACTATGGTAACTCAGTGCTCTTACTACAGTGCTTCTTTCGGAAGTAGTGAAGAAGTCCTTCCTGTCGCTCCCCATGTATTTGTCTTTATGTTTCGTCAGGAAAGGGGCTTTTACATACTTTGGAAAGACATTGTCCCTCATTTTCGTGTAAAATGGTACCTGCACAGTGCACATGGTAGAGAACTTTTAGGGGTTCAAAGGGTTTAACTGTTTAAGTACTTTAAAATCTAACTGAAACTTGAAATTTCAACGAGCCTTCACTGTCACTAATGGTTGTGGTGCAAAACATGTTTCTTGATTTATTTCCTGTCACGATTATGTTTGTATCACGTCGTGACCCCCATTGTATCACGTCGTGACCCCCATTGTATCACGTCGTGACCCCCATTGTATCTGTATCACGTCGTGACCCCCATTGTATCACGTCATGACCCCCATTGTATCACGTCGTGACCCCCATTGTATCACGTCGTGACCCCCATTGTATCACGTCATGACCCCCATTGTATCACGTCGTGACCCCCATTGTATCACTTCGTGACCCCCATTGTATCACGTCGTGACCCCCATTGTATCACGTCGTGACCCCCATTGTATCACATCGTGACCCCCATTACTTAAAGTACATTATGTTAAATACCTTCCCGTGGAGGATGTAGAATATTGTGTCCTGTATCCAGGTCCAGAACCCTGTGTCTTCAGTGTCCTCTTCTTCTTCCTGACTCATCTAGGAGATTAGTTCACCATTTTTAATGATAAAGAAATTTTTGCGAAGGAGGACAGGGCTCCAAAGTCTGAAAGTGAAATAAAATTCAAATGAAGGGCACTCACAAAATTTAAAAGATGCTTTGGATGATTCAGATTACATCTTATGCTTGAAAGTGAAGACCGCAAACGAACCCGAAACATTTCATGCCAAAAACCTCAACATACAGATGCCGTGAGGTAAATTTAATATGACATGCAATGAACCTGGCACAGAATCCCACCCCATGCACGGAATACGTTACCGGTTACTTAGTTGCTTAGTTACCGGTGACTGGTCGCTGGAGAGTAATCCAGACTTTGAGGATGCAGTTTTAGACATCCCTTTAGTTTTAGACATTCCTTTAGTTTTATTTACGTTTCCCTGGCTGGTATCCTGTAAGAGCAAGTTGTAAACTTATCCATTTTTAAGGCATGATTATAAGCATAGTTCAGACGTACTTATTAGTTATTACCTTGCCAAACATTGTACAGTTGGCAGTTTCTAGTTACCATAGTAACACAACTTGTTACCATAGTAACATGACTTCAGAGTGGCAGTTCAATAGTCAGAGTCACTATTTTACTATAACTACCCATTAAATGTAGCTATTTCCCTACCTCATTCTTCTTAGTGAAATCCCTCCTGTCGTACTTCAGTGGCTTCTCAAAACCAAACTTCTCCGCCCACTTCATCATCACATGCTCCGGGATATTCAGCTTTACCACACGAAACATGTCACCTGTCACTCTGAAATCCTGGGATATTCAGCTTTACCACACGAAACATGTCACCCGTCACTCTGAAATCCTGGGATATTCAGCTTTACCACACGAAACATGTCACCTGTCACTCTGAAATCCTGGGATATTCAGCTTTACCACACGAAACATGTCACCTGTCACTCTGAAATCCTGGGATATTCAGCTTTACCACACGAAACATGTCACCTGTCACTCTGAAATCCTGGGATATTCAGCTTTACCACACGAAACATGTCACCTGTCACTCTGAAATCCTGGGATATTCAGCTTTACCACACGAAACATGTCACCTGTCACTCTGAAATCCTGTTTACACACATTAACGCTAAAAAGAGCTGTTATATGTATTTCTCCCCAAACAAACGTGAAAATGAATCCTCTAACTCTCTAAAATGAAAATAAGCTGAACTGGAAACCTCACATCGAATCACTTAATAAGAAGTAAGAAGTGCTTGTGGACGTATTAACTGCCTATCCGGGATATTCAGCTTTACTACAAATTTGAAATTTCAGTTTTTCTGACCAAGAGTATGATTGCCACAAGATAGAAAATGACAAACTCTTGATCATTGAAAATAACTTTGCAACAGTAATGCAAATGGTAACCATGGCGACGACACAATTACTGCAAACAGTTTACTGTTTAGACGTACTAACACAATGTTTAAATCCATGCTCTTTTTAATAATAACAAAATTTACGGAATTATTTATGCATAAACCATACGAGAAATGTTTAATAGATTATTCAAAAACCTCAAACTCTAGATTCAGATCTAGCTTTTTTACCTCAAACTCTAGATTCAGATCTAGCTTTTTTACAATATTGTGGAAGTTTTTTCTGTTTCTGATGTGCTTTAGTTCTGATCTGGCGAACTCTGTTTCACAGTCCTCCTGAGAATTTTAAAATTAGCTAATTAACCTTAACGAAATCGAAGTGAAACACATCGTACATACATGATACAAACTGAACTAAAGAACTACAATTTATTGTATCAATGCTGATTTGTTGATTATAACCGATAAAATATGCATTATAAAGATATTTGTTACACAGAAACTTGTTCAACAAATTACAGCACCATAGTAAAATTAATAAAATCCAGCTAAAACATCCAAGATCTCCACAACCGATAACACAGTGTAAACACAGTGTAAACACAGTGTAAACACACCCACAGTAATATCACGAGGGGATCCACTCGTTGAGACAAATTACAGACAAACCCACCTCCACCTTAATAGTAACATTACGAGGGGATCCACTCGTTGAGACAAATTACAGACAAACCCACCTACACCTTAATAGTAACATTACGAGGGGATCCACTCGTTGAGACAAATTACAGACAAACCCACCTCCACCTTAATAGTAACATTACGAGGGAGTCTACTTGTTGAGACAAATTACAGACAAACCCACCTCCACCTTAATAGTAACATCACGAGGGGATCCACTCGTTGAGACAAATTACAGACAAACCCACCTCCACCTTAATAGTAACATTACGAGGGGATCCACTCGTTGAGACAAATTACAGACAAACCCACCTCCACCTTAATAGTAACATCACGAGGGGATCCACTCGTTGAGACAAATTACAGACAAACCCACCTCCACCTTAATAGTAACATCACGAGGGGATCCACTCGTTGAGACAAATTACAGACAAACCCACCTCCACCTTAATAGTAACATTACGAGGGGATCCACTCGTTGAGACAAATTACAGACAAACCCACCTCCACCTTAATAGTAACATCACGAGGGGATCTACTTGTTGAGACAAATTACAGACAAACCCACCTCCACCTTAATAGTAACATCACGAGGGGATCTACTTGTTGAGACAAATTACAGACAAACCCACCTCCACCTTAATAGTAACATCACGAGGGGATCTACTTGTTGAGAAAAATTACAGACAAACCCACCTCCACCTTAATAGTAACATCACGAGGGGATCTACTTGTTGAGACAAATTACAGACAAACCCACCTCCACCTTAATAGTAACATCACGAAGGGATCCACTCGTTGAGACAAATTACAGACAAACCCACCTACACCTTAATAGTAACATTACGAGGGGATCCACTCGTTGAGACAAATTACAGACAAACCCACCTCCACCTTAATAGTAACATTACGAGGAGATCTACTTGTTGAGACAAATTACAGACAAACCCACCTCCCCCTTAATAGTAACATTACGAGGGGATCTACTTGTTGAGACAAATTACAGACAAACCCACCTCCACCTTAATAGTAACATTACGAGGGGATCTACTTGTTGAGACAAATTACAGACAAACCCACGAGGGGATGTTACTCCTGGTACCCCTGATCCACTTGTTAAGACCTGGCTCCTGCTCAACTCCGGGTCTGGTCTGTGAAGTGGGGCTCTATATACTAGCACAAAATCTGTGGGTATTACTGCCATTACTAATATTACTCATTTTACGACCATTACTAATATTACTAGCCTAAACTCTGACTAACGGAAAATCATCAGAATATAAGAAGATATTTAAAAGTAGAGTAACAGGCGTTCAGAAACACGCACTTATTAGTAGAGTAACAGGCGTTCAGAAACCCGCAATTAATAGTAGAGTTACAGGCGTTCAGAAACCCGCACTTAATAGTGGAGTAACAGGTGTTCAGAAACACGCACTTAATAGTAGAGTTACAGGCGTTCAGAAACCCGCACTTAATAGTAGAGTTACAGGCGTTCAGAAAACACGTACTTAATAGTAGAGTAACAGGTGGTCCCTGAGTAAAAAGCAACATCTCATGCAGTCATAAACACAATCCCTCTTTTAATGTGAACCACTGATTGTGTGACCTCAATACAGTAAAACCTTACTGGGCGGCTCAGTCTGCCATTCCACCGAATCTTTATCTAGGTTTATGAACATGATACTGATAGCCTGGGGTCCTAGGTAAAGTAAAACCCTGATTTACCGCGGCTATTTCCTTACTTTAAATAGGGCTTAACATACGTAAACAAACCCTGATTTACCGCGGCTATTTCCTTTCCCCCAAACTCCGCGGTAAATCGGGGTTTGCGGTAAATCGGGGTTTTACTGTATTCGTAAACACGCTTTACTTACACGTACACTTACCAATAGACTTATCTGGGTCTGACCGGAAGGAGTATCCTTCTCCAGGCTTATACCACGTGATTCCCATATAAGGGTATACTCAACTGCAACACGTGATGCCCATATAAGGGTATACTCAACACGTGATGCCCATATAAGGAGTACACTTACCAATAGACTTATCTGGGTCTGATCGGAAGGAGTATCCTTCTCCAGGCTTATTCTTGTTCTCCGCCGAAAGCTGAAATAAAACAGATGTAAGTAAAACTGCAGACTATTGTCAGATTGTTAAAACTACTTATAAGTAGAATGAGGAAAATGTTGTTTATATATATTTTTAAAAATTATTTAAAAAATAAAGCGTGACTATTTCTTGTTTGTAAAATTTGATTTTTAATGGCCAAAATTGTTGGTGACAGTTCAACTTGAGCAAACATTCCACAATTCTTATCTGAGTCTTTTAAAACCCACCATTACTCTCAAATATGTGTCATCAATAGCGTTATAATGGTCTCAACCAAAAGCTAACACAGCATAAGAATACGACTGTGAACTGATGAAACTTCTGAACTTTGACTCAAAGTTAACTCCCCGTCAAGGATGGATTAGTAGTAGTAATATTACTAATATTACTAGTAATATTACTAGTAATAGCTGGAATTGCATTGGTGGACATGTAATTACCTACACAGTACCATACACTATATGTCTTGTCAGCAGCTGTATTGAGCAGCATTGTTGTTTTAATCAACTCAAAGTTAAATATTGACAGGATTTTCATTCATTAGCTGAACTCTTGTATATTTTCAAATGACAATTTTCAAGTTCATTTGCATATTGGAAGATTAACTGTCCATGAAGAAGTAAAGTAAAGAATAAGTAAAGTAAAGAAGAAGTAAAGTAAAGAAGAAGTAAAGTAAAGAAGAAGTAAAGGTCAAGTATGCACTATAATGTGCTGTTGAGATAGTTGGAAATAACCATCGTAGAAATCTATCATAACTAGCTATAATATTTATAAGAGTTAAGTATCGTAAATGCGATAGTTAACTTTTTCGCAACGTGTATTTGTAGCCTAGCAACCTGAATGAGCGTATCCTAGCAACCGGCACTTACTTTTATCTTGCATCCCATACTAAGGAGAGTTGTCATACGATATATAGCCATCACCTCATTGCAGCTCTTCTGCCACTGTTGGTCCGCTTCAAAATTATCACCTGTCATTATCAATCAGTTGAAGCACAAGGAAATAATGTTGAAACACATGGAAATAATGTTGAAACACATGGAAATAATGTTGAAACACATGGAAATAATGTTAAAATACAAGGAAATATTTTAAACTCTTGGTCAAACAAGTTTAGAATGTTTTGGAACACTGGTATAGAATACACATGAAAAAATAGAGCATGAAATTTATAAATAATCTTACCATAGGATCTTCCATTGAGATGGTTTAGTTCGCCCTGTTATTTAATAATATTAATTGTTTTAAAAAGTAGCTGAAAAACTGACGAGATTGTTGGAAAATGTAATTCAAATTCTCCAACCTTCAGAATAAAATCAAATTTTATGACCCATATTAAAAATAAAAGGTTTTGCAGCCAAACAAAATTAACGCGTTAAACAAAAAATTTATAGAGATAATTTATCATTCAGATATATTCTTAAAAAGCTTGGTAGCTTCTATGTTCTTTACTATGTTCTATATAATATGTTCTATTATTTTGGTCTTCCAATGGTTGTGTGAAGCGCAGGTGGCCCAAAGCGTCACCGCTGGATAGAGACCCTGGATCTGCCTGCAGCAGCCAGAACCTCGAAAAAGGGCTACCCCGTTGGTGCCCTTTTCCAGTACCACATCGAACAGCAAGATGAAGCCTCTCCACAACAAGTCCTATCCTGCTACCTCCTCGTGGTGAAGACTGGAAACTGGATGAACACTGAACAGTGGTGATCTCCAGGCTAAGGGCAGCGAAGGGCGACGGGAGGCTCACTGACCCCCACGGATTTCAATTATTGAATCACATAATTGTCTCCTAACTCTAAACCTCGAGAGAAGAGAGGTGCAGAGAATCAGTGACTCCCCCGGCTGTGGAGTGAACAGTAGCTAAAGAGGTATTGGCCGTTTGCCTCTGACCTTGTTGCTATGACCCAGGTAAACTGGACCACGCTCTGGTAACAGGATCAGCCCCCCATGCCTGGGGTAACGAGGTAGTCAGGGGGAAGGTTAGCCCCCGTAAAAGTGGAGCCCTGGCTCACACTCTAATCTCCCTAAGCTTTGGGACAAAAGCGTATAGTCATTTATTGGAATTGGTGAAGAAAGAAGAAATAATACAACGACAGGACATCATCACAAAACCCACTCTTACTGATTAGTAGCAACAAGTGTTCTAGCGGAAGTTGTTACTCACGTGGCCAAGATGGATAAGTCATTTAACGCTCAAGTGGCGCCCGGCGTTAAGTAGGTGTCTCACTTTGCCTGATGTGCAGGGGACTGCGCATGAGACACCAGCCATTGAAAAGTTTGATGATGTCTTATAATAACACTAGGGTTAAAGTCCCTACCACTGATTTAGATGTCGGAGGGGACCGGATTGATGACTCTCTCACCCTAAAACTCCCTAGGAGAGGGGTGACAGATGATATGCCGGCTCCTTCACCCGGCACAAAAAATAACATAAAACAACAAAAAAAGGATGGGGATGCATTGGTTTCTTGTAGTGAGGTAGCTCTAGTAGGGACATTTAATGTCCGAACTGCTAGAGAAGGTTACAAGCGCCTTGAACTCGTGAGTCAGTTTCTGGAGAGTGGCATGGAGATCCTTGGGATTCAAGAACATAGGATTGTCCACCAGGAGCCTATCAAGATCGAAAAGTTCAAGGAGGGGGTTAGCTTGGTAACTGTTTCAGCATGGAGGAATGGAGCAGGAGCAGCCACTGGTGGAGTGGGCTTTCTGCTGACTAGAAGAGCATACAGCGCAATCAGCCTCATTAAACCCTATGGCTCAAGGGTGCTGACTATCTCTTTCAACGGAAATCCCAGACTCACAACTATAACTGCCTATAGTCCTACCGAGGCAGCACTAGTTGAAGAAGCGGAGGATTTCCATAACACCCTTAGACAGGCTATGAATGATGTGCCAGCGCACCACCTGCTGATCACAGAGGGAGATATGAACGCCCGGCTTGGAAAGGAGAATGAAGAAGACTCCCGTTGGTACTTTCATACTCGTACCAATTGGAATGGAGAGCTACTGAGAGACACTGCCCTGGAGTGCGATATGGAAATTACCAATATCCGCTTCAGAAAGAAGGTCAACAAGAGGTGGACCTTCTTATCCGATGGACACTTAACAAAGGTCAGATTGACTATATCCTCATACGGCGGAAGTGGAAAAACTCATTAAAGAACACTGAAGTTTACAACACTTTTCAGTCGTTGGGATCTGATCACAGAGTTGTAGTGTGTAAGATCAAAGTTAGCTTTAGGAAAGGACACAGGCCTCCGAAAAAAGTTAACTATGATTATAGTGCCCTGAAGTCGGATGGTGAGCTTCAAAAAAAGTATGCAATTGAAGTTCGGAATAGATTCTCTGGCCTGGTAGAGGAGGATGATGGGGCCACTGAAAGCTACGGGAAGCTTATGGTTGCTATTGAGGCGGCAAACAAGAGCCTTCTGCCAAAGAAGACTCGACAAAAGCAGATTGACCCCTCAAGTGACCCAAGAGTGGACAGTGCAAGGAGGGGACTGTTCTTGGCCAAGGACCAATACCATCAGGAGCCTTGTGAAGAGAAGAGAGAGGAAGTCGCCACTAAAAAGGATTTGTTAAAGGCCTGCTACAAAGAGGTAGAGGAGGAGATCCTGAAAGGAAAGATCAGGAAAGTTGAGGATACTGCTGATCGTTGTAAGAACAAGGAAAGCTGGAAGCTTGTCAACGATATTTCAGGGAGGACAAATCCCAGCTGTGGACTCGTGGAAGGGGGCAGCTCAACAGAACGTCTTGAGAACTGGAGGAAGCACTTCTCTGGGTTACTTGGACAGCCACCCACAGTCCCTGACAATAGTATTCCGATCAGGAATATACACCCTCCACTGAATATAGAGGATGGCCCGTTCACCATTGTGGAACTACGTCTTGCCAAAAAGCAGATAGTAGAAGGCAAAGCTTATGGTGATGATGGTATCTCACCTGAAGTGATGAAGAGGGTGGACATCGATGACGTCATCCTGAAGTTCTGCAACGATGCATTATGTGATGGTCTCATGCCCGATCAATGGAAGCTCAGTAATATTGTTCCTGTGCCAAAGAAAGGGGACCTCACTAAGACCGACAACTACAGAGGAATATCTCTGACATCGATAGTCAGTAAAACTCTGAACAAAATGTTGCTGAACAGGATGAAGCCAAGTCTTGAGGAAGTTTTAAGGGACAACCAGAATGGCTTTAGACCTGGGCGCTCTACAACATCACACATCCTTGCTCTACGAAGAATTATGGAGGGTGCTAGAGCCAAAAATCTTAAGGCCACCATGGTTTTCATTGATTTCAAAAAGGCGTTCGATAGTGTGCATAGAGGTTTGCTCATGAAGATATTAAAAGCATATGGCATACCAGAAGCCATAGTGCGGCTCATTGAGGGTATCTATACGAGCACAAAGGCTAAAGTAGTTACAGCCGATGGTATAACAGACATTTTTGATATCCTGGCTGGAGTACTGCAAGGAGACACTCTTGCCCCGTACTTGTTCATTATCGTGATTGACTATATCATGACAGTGACTATAGACGATGATGACTCGGACTCTGGGTTTACTCTCAGGCCTGCACGGAGTAGAAGGATTGGTGCCGAGAAGATCGCAGACGTCGAGTTTGCAGATGATGTTGCCCTTATCACTGATACCATTGAAGGGGCAAAACTACTCCTGGACAGGCTTGAGAAAGCAGCACTGAGTGTTGGGCTAGCCATGAACGGCTCTAAAACTAAGTTCATGACTCTGAACATGACAGAGGAGGCGAGTAGTCTTAATAGCTGTTCTGGAAACCAGCTGGAAAAGGTGACAGACTTTGTTTACCTTGGAGCTTGGATAGCAACAACAGAGAGGGACCTGCGGGTCAGAAAAGCTAAGGCTTGGGCAGCCTGCCACAAGCTAAAGAAGATGTGGAAGTCTGACCTTAGAAGAGGACTAAAGATCCGTCTATTTGTTGCTACTGTGGAGTCAATACTTCTTTATGGTTCTGAAACGTGGACGTTGACAGAGCAATTGAAGAAACGCATTGATGGCTGCTACACTAGAATGCTAAGGATGGCACTTAATGTGGATTGGAAGCAGCGAAAAACCAACAAAGAAGTCTATGGCAACCTACCGAGAGCAACCATGAAGATCCAAGAGCGCAGGATGCGACTAGCAGGCCATATCCACCGGCACCCAGAACTAGTCGCAAACCGCTTGCTACTCTGGGAACCAACTCATGGGGTGCGGAGTAGGGGGAGACCAGCCATGACCTATGTTGATAGCCTACGAGCTGACACGGGTCTCAACGACACTGGAGAAATGGGCGGACTTATGGCGGATAGAGTTTTATGGAGACAGCGCATCAATACTCGGACGCTGAAGCCGCCTTAAGTCAAGTAAGTCAATAATGTATATAAATGTATATAACAACTTACGTCTGGCTGCACTGTGCTTCCCAAACCAGCAAATCCTGCGGCAAAAATTCAAATTAATTATAAATGGGGAAAATTATGTGTAGTTGTAAAAGTCAAGCCAGTGCGCATTGATCTTTCAGAACAAGTATATTAATAGGTTTTTCTATCTGGTGTTAATACAATATGGTCTTTCAAGGACACTTTTTACCTTACGTAATGCCTCGTCATGTCGCTTCTTTCTTTTATATTATTGCTGTATTGTATATATTGTGAGAGTTTCAAATCGAAAGAGTAATCGGTACCTCGCATTGGTGTAAAATGTAGATGCAGACAGATCTTACCACGCATTGGTGTAAAATGTAGATGCAGACAGATCTTACCTCGCATTGGTGAAAAATGTAGATGCAGACAGATCTTACCTCGCATTGGTGTAAAATGTAGATGCAGACAGATCTTACCTCGCATTGGTGTAAAATGTAGATGCAGACAGATCTTACCTCGCATTGGTGTAAAATGTAGATGCAGACAGATCTTACCTCACATTGGTGTAAAATTTAGATGCAGACAGATCTTACCTCGCATTGGTGTAAAATGTAGATGCAAACAGATCTTACCTCGTATTGGTGTAAAATGTAGATGCAGACAGATCTTACCTCGCATTGGTGTAAAATGTAGATGCAGACGGATCTTGTTCTTTTTTAAATATACTCTCTTCCAACCTGAAACATGAAATGCAATCGCTAGGTAAGAACATATTCATTTAAATACATACATAGTATAGAGCAAACGAAACAATTTTTATGATTTGCTCCTTGACATCAAGTTGAGCACTGTTAGCACTGTTATAGTGCAGATAAAGGAAGTAGCACCATGTTATACATAGTATAGTATCTTGAGATTATTAGTATAGTATAGTATAGTATAGTATAGTATAGTATAGTATAGTATAGTATAGTATAGTATAGTATAATATAGTATAGTATAGCTGTATAGTATAGTATAGTATAGTATAGTATAGTATAGTATAGTATAGTATAGTATAGTATAGTATAGTATAGTATAGTATAGTATAGTATAGTATAGTATAGTATAGTATAGTATAGAAAAATTTCCGACAAAATTCCGACTACCTTCTCCCAGTACAGATAGAAGCAGATTTATAATTGTCCAACAGAATTATCATACTGTTATTAATCAAGCAATATAATAATCAAATTATAAATCAAATAAGGCTAAGATCATATTTATGGAAACCTTTTTGCAGTGTAACACAAAAGTTAAGGAGTTGAAGGAGTTAAAATACTAACCGAGTCTCGAGGAAAACGTTCAGTAAGTAAGGTACATTAGGTATAGTTTTATAATAGGTATAGTAAAGAGAAACAACCGTGTCAGTGATGGAGTGAGGTTAATCTTCAAGACTAGAATTTACTGTGAAATACTACTGCTTAATTTGAACATTTGCAGATATTGACCTGCAGTTGATAAAAGTGCAGGAAGTCTAAATTTGCGAATGGTAGTTTGCTTCGCAGAAGGCAATATAGTAAGAAAGAGAGGAACTATACTACTACTAGCCAAAAACTAATTCAAGCGAGTATTGCGTACTTTATAAGCTCATAAATATTAGCTTTATTCGCACTTGTTTCTCTTTCGACAAAGATGTGACGACGTCAAATTTTAATTATTTTTATTTTAAGAACACTCTTGCACATTATTTATTAATTTACTTCTCTATTGATGTATATAATAGTCAAGACGTGAGTGTTAGGGCTCTCATTGACAAATTTATGTTTAATCCTGTTTAAACCGGCCAGGTAGCGTAGTTGGTTGATCATCGGATTTGCAATCGTAAGATTGCGAGTTCGAATCCCACTGCCTGCCTAGTCGTGGGGTGAGCGTCGTTGACGCTCTGCTAAGGATCCCGAGTGGTCTATGTAGCCCCACGGTTCACTCAGCCGAATGCTCGAGAAATCGGGTGTGAGGGTTAAATGAGGAGCTGTGGGCGAAGAAAGTGTGGCATAGTGCCTTAACCGTTGCTGGCCTTAGGAACGATCCTTCGGCTTCTTGTAAAGCTCTTCCTTGAAAGTGCTGGTTTACATTGTAATGCAGGTAATGCCGAAGTAAAATAACAAAGGTGGTCGACTCATTCGATGGCCTTGTTGCGTCGCAACGAATCCTCATAAGATAAGATAAGATAATCCTGCTTACGTTACTCATTGGTGACATGATCTGATCTCCGTGGGACCCCTGATAATGACTTGGCCGTCCCAATATCTATACTGACATATTATACAGTAAAACCCCGAACGCGGCCGTTTTCTTCCTCCAAATAGGACCAAACCCCGATTTAACGCGGCTTCTTTCTCTCGAACTCCGCGGTAAATCGGGGTATTACATTTGGCTCTTACTAAATCGCTCGCCCAAAAATTTCACGTGACTTTGGTTTTTTTGGTTTTGCAGCCGTACAAAACGGTTTTACATAAACCCTAATCCCAACCCTAACCCTAACCCCGAAGCTATCCATAATCTTAACCACAACCCTAACCCTAACCGGAACCCGAGCCCTAAATAATCGAATTCACGTTTTACTAGCCTGTCACGTGACCAAAACGGTTTTTTGCCCATAACTCTCCAGGGAAGCATTTTAACCCTACGTCATGGGGGGTGATTCGGAATCAGCGTCCACGGTCCAAAAATACACTGATCTAGATCACTGTCATGCCTAAAGGGCCTTCTTACAAGAATTTTCTTAAAATTTGGGCGAGCGATTTAGTAGGAGCGATAACATTTACCCTGCAGTGGCGTAAAGTTGCCCCTCCCCCCGGCTCCCCCTACGCCACTGGGTATTACTGTACATATTTAATAGTGGTACAGCAATGCCAATCCTAATACTTGTACCACGTGATAAATCTAACTTTAAGTTTAACTTCATGTTCAAAATCAGTAAATCTGGGTAATATCTTCATTTTGAACTTGTCCATGCCTGTAAGCAGTCAGTTAATCTGAGTAGTGAGCAGGTGGCATTATCGAGCCCTGCTAGCGTTGAAATTGAAAGTATAATCAATAATTATCTTCCTCTGCTATAGTACAGCTGGGCAGTGGCGTAACTTTGCCTGTTGGCGCCCCCCACTCAGTGACGAAAAGCGCCCCCCCTAAAATTTTTTGTCCCTAAAAAAAAAAAAAAAAAGAAAAAAGGTCGGGTACTTTTTTCTCGCCCCCCTACAGCTTTTTGCGCCCCCTGAAGCAAAAAAGGGTACCCCAAATATATTTTTAGCGTCGACCGAACGCTAAATTGGACAGGGAAATACACAAACAAGGCGTTTTTTCAGTGAAAGGGCCTAAAATTCAGGAAAATTGCGCCCCCCTTATACGGCGCCCCCCCCCCCCACACAGCGGGGTCTGCGGGGCCCTATACTATATACTAAGTTACGCCACTGCAGCTGGGAGGATTGATAAGTTGACGCATGAACGATGAAGCGGTTCATTGTCAACGGACGAGATGTATTAACAGTTAATCTGTTCATTGTTAACAGTGCTGTAACAGTAACGTTATTTTGTCGAGAAGAAAATCTAAGTGCTAAGGTTTGAAAATTGTTGTTATTCCAGTATAACAAATAAATTTTCTAATCGTGTAAAAATCGTGTAATATATCTGATCTCAACCGTCAATTTTAAATCAGTGCACTATTGACTATACAGTAATTACTTCTATCGTTGAGTTGTGAGCTGTAAACCTTTAAGTAAATATTATATTATTGTGGACGATTCTGTCGGAAAATTGCTATGTTAAATTTTCACCTTACCAAGATTCGTCAATAAGTCAAACAGTAAATTCTAAAATTTGTACACAAAACTAGTTTAATACCATCGACCCTGACCGAGATAAATCATGTGCTGCAGAAAATGACGTTTTTATTTGTCCGTAAAAAAGGTGTAAAATTCTACATGTAGCACATGGTCCCTCGATTCAAGGCCCAGATTCTAGAATTTAATAAATAGGTGATATTAAGGCACAAGTATTGCAGCAAGGATGAAACAACACTTCAGAATACTCTCCTCGATTAACCAATCAAACTTAACTCTGGAAGTTGTTCTGTATTTTCCGTTTTCGGGAATATGATCACAACATCGTAGGATTGTTTAACCTGATTGTTTTCTCCACCAGAAAGAGTCCCATATCAACCAACTTTCCTTTTTACGGTTCAACAGACTATTTGATGCGTGCTTTGGGAGGCGGTACGATGTTTGTGGGTGTGTGATGCTACGTCGCCAGGGCCTTCGATCATCATTGTTTTTACTGGTCACGCGATGTTAAATTCCAAAATCACGTGAAAATACGGTACGTGCTCGATTTGAGTGGAAACCTTTGATCGCCGAACATAGTCCCCATAACACTAGCACAACTGCGCGTTCCGGCGTGACTCTAATGAAGACCCTTTCGACAGTGACGGAGGTTTCGCACACTGAAAATTAACTGCTCCTTGTAGAATTAACGAGATAAACTTTAACGATTTTGTAATAACATTAACAAAAAGTAATTACATGTATCCCAATAAGGCAAATTAGCACAAAATAAAATACTCTGAATTAAGATCAAGTATGAGCAAATCAGCAACTTTTAGAAATGGGCGATCAAAGATAAAGAGACCCATCAATTATAATTAAAGCTCTCTATGAATTATATTAATCATATCTAACACACTACGTATAAAATAAGTTACATTTAGTAAAATAAGATTTATGACAAGTTAAAAGTCGATCATCTCATAAAAAACTTAAAGTAAGCTTGCATTGCAATTTGTGAGGGAAGGGGCACCAGAAAAGTATTATATGATATCACCAGAAACGATTATTTTTTCATCAGCAAACGGGTAGACAGATTTCAATACTTCATGACTCTTTCTCATTTTAACTCTTTTAAAATTATTTTCACTCGGGTACATTGTCAAATGCAAGCATTTAAGTGCAGCCATCAACATCTAAAACTAGGGAATAGACTAGATGTAGGCCTCTGAAACCTGGAATATCCTAAAAAATACCATCAAAGTCTAAAAAACGTGATCGATATTTTATAAATATATATTTTATATAAATATATATTTCAACTTTCGAGCAGGTTGTCGTCCTTCAGGTAAAAGAAGAGGTAACAGGAGTTCTTGCGCTGCGCGCGCACGTAGTGCAGGTCTATCACGTGCATGTTTACATCGTCGTAAAAGTACCACTGACCAGACTCACGGACATCGCAGATGTAGTGGCCACACTCTCGGGATTCTCCTGAGGGGTTGCTATGGTAACGCTGGTGGTTGCTGAGCTGTGGTAACTTATCTTTAGAGAACCGAACAAATTAAAATCACGTACACCGGCGTACACACCTATAAATTAGCCAAATATCAATATTTTTGGATGAGACAGACTTTGTATAAAAGGTAAGTTTTAACTACATGCTATTTTAACTACATGTTATTTATTATTCCCTGTGATAAACCTCTCAATATCCTATAACATCCCGTACCAAGGCGATATAACAAACCACGCACCAAGATGGGAGATAACTGCGTGTAAAGAGTAGAGGCCTTTAGTGCGAGTACGTAAGTTGTGGGGTACAGGCGGAGTGTTGCTGTCCGGTATTGATACTCTGCTACCTGTGGGGAGTAATTAATTAATTAATTAGGCTAATTACTGGTGTTTTGACACGTGACAGTGACTGTGGGACTTCATCGGTCAATTCAGCAGGCTGATCGATGTGTCACTATTAAAAAAACACATTTTTGAGTGTCCTAGTAAAATCTAAAAATTCGAGCAGTCCTGTACAATCGGCACTACTCGGCAGGTGGCAAATTTAAAGAAAGGGCTGAATTTTCCGGAAATATTCAATAAATTGTGTCTCCAGGTTGTTGGCTGTGATTACGTGCTGTTTTGTCAAAGCATGGAGCCTCTTTATTAAATACAGTCCAGTTCATTTGCCTTTTATGGTCTGATTGTTCTTTTCTAAACAGGAACAAGATATACATAAAGATATAAGAGAAAGATCTGACCTAATTTTATTGAATTACCCAAGAGTATTTATATAGTTTATGTATTTTATAGATACATTATTATATATTATGACAATCTTGGCAAAGTAAATTTTCGGGTTTTGGTTTAAGACTTCTAAAAATCCTTGCTATTATTACTTAATGTAGTATTTACACAAATATCTCCAGATTTATCTGGAAAGAACAATAACATTATAATTTAAAGGATGCACCCGATCAAGGAAATGTATTTCGTACCATTTCAGTGCTTAGTAGTACTTACTTTGGCTGCCCTTGACAGTGTCCTTGCCCAGTTTAGTGATGTCTAGTCTAGAGGGGATGAGTATACTGTCCTGCCGCTTACCTTCCCGCGATCCACCTGAACACAACATATTGTTAACATTGTTAACTATGTTAACTATGTTAACATTGTTAACATTGTTAACATTGTTAACATTGTTAACATTGTTAACATTGTTAACTATGTTAACATTGTTAACTATACTATATATATATTATATATATATATATAACCAAACTTAATGAAATATCAAATGGATAGATAGATAAAATCAAGTTTTATGCAGCACAATTATTTAGATAATTAGTAGATTATTTCTACTATTATTAGATAATTAGTAAATATTTAATTTGAATTTTGATAATTAGTAGATATTTAATTTGAAATAAACCAAATACTATTATCTTATTTAAATCTGATAATAACTGGAAAAGTAATTTCTCTCAGCATTTGGAAATATAATAACATTGTCGTGCCACACATTTGTTTTTGCAAATATGGATTTGGGATAATATGAAAGTTTGGCGCTTTTCTATTGTGATCATATACGTTGTGGTATCCGCAGGAATAGTTGGGCCATAAATTGAAACGGGATATTATAAGAAACAAACATTTAAAACTCACAACTATTTTGTCTGGTACACATAAAACATGTGCCTGGATAGTGGATAACTACACATCATGTTAAAGAGCCTGGATAGTGGATAACTACACATCATGTTAAAGAGCCTGGATAGTGGATAACTACACATCATGTTAAAGAGCCTGGATAGTGGATAACTACACATCATGTTAAAGAGCCTGGATAGTGGATAACTACACATCATGTTAAAGAGCCTGTATAGTGGATAACTACACATCATGTTAAAGAGCCTGGATAGTGGATAACTACACATCATGTTAAAGAGCCTGTATAGTGGATAACTACACATCATGTTAAAGAGCCTGGATAGTGGATAACTACACATCATGTTAAAGAGCCTGTATAGTGGATAACTACACATCATGTTAAAGAGCCTGGATAGTGGATAACTACACATCATGTTAAAGAGCCTGGAAAGTGGATACTGGCTACACACCATCTTCTATTGCAAAATATATTTAAATGCCTGGCAGATATGTATATATATTATCTATATCATTATATTGAATATTTTAAAGTTTTAATAACTACCTACCTTAAGATGTGTTTTATAATGGAACGCCTATAAAAGGGCTAAACGTTACCACGGTGGTCGTGAAGATCGGACCGGGGTATCGTGAAGCAACCACAAAGTTACCATCGTTACTAGTTACTAAGCAACCACAAAGTTACCATCGTTACTAGTTACAAAGCAACCACAAAGTTACCATGGTTACTAGTTACTAAGCAACCACAAAGTTACCATGGTTACTAGTTACTAAGCAACCACAAAGTTACCATCGTTACTAGTTACTAAGCAACCACAAAGTTACCATGGTTACTAGTTACTAAGCAACCACAAAGTTATCATGGTTACTAGTTACTAAGCAACCACAAAGTTACCATCGTTACTAGTTACTAAGCAACCACAAAGTTACCATGGTTACTAGTTACTAAGCAACCACAAAGTTACCATGGTTACTAGTTACTAAGCAACCACAAAGTTACCATCGTTACTAGTTACTAAGCAACCACAAAGTTACCATCGTTACTAGTTACTAAGTAACCACAAAGTTACCATGGTTACTAGTTACTAAGCAACCACAAAGTTACCATGGTTACTAGTTAATAAGCAACCACAAAGTTACCATCGTTACTAGTTACTAAGCAACCACAAAGTTACCATCGTTACTAGTTACTTAGCAACCACAAAGAGCACAAGGGACTGTTCAAGTGTGATATGACGTCAGTAGTATAATAAGACCCCCATCTTCAAAGGGCCACTGCTTTATTATTACAATTTTGTACGTACAAGATAATGTTTGTAACGCAAATGTACTGTTATATAAATGAGAATAGCACAATATTACTGGAATCTTTCTGCACGATAAAGGAATGCTGTTCACATTTACTCACTGCGCAATAAAGCATACGGCTGTATGATAACTTACTGCGCGAGAAAGCGTAGCGCTGTACGTGTAGCACCAGAGCCTGAGGTAATTGTGAGAACCTGTGCTGCACTTGAGCTGTGTCGTGTCCGCAGGAACTACACTTCAACTCCACTTCATCTGTAACAGGTAATATAAAGTTAATTAATTGTAAGTTAATTGGTACATTTAGTTAATTGGTCAGTTCATTGGAATAGTTTTAATAAACACAGTAATTTTAGATTATCAGAGTTCATGATGTAATAATAGCAAGGGTTTTATAGTTTTATACTGTACTGTAGGTTCAAGAACTATAAAGCTATAATGAATTGGAGCAGAACCAGTAACCACAGGGAATTAATTACAACTATTTAATTAATTATAACCTGAAACACAGGTGCAGTGTTTATTAAACATCCAACTGATGTATTATAATGTAAATCTAATCAGGAATATTGTAACCACAAGATTCCTATAATCTCATATAACATATAATATGTATAATTTATAATAGTAACCTGTAGCAAAGTAGTCCTCCAACAGTTCAGCTAAGTTGTGAGGCTGGAGATTACGGCCAGGAAGGTTGAGGGAGAAATCATAATACTTCTCGGTCTTCTGACCACCTGATCTGCAGCCTACACAGCGTAGAGTGTGGATTACCTGGGTTTGTTGCTAATTACCTAATTAGCTAATCAGGTAATTAGTTACATTGATACATTTATAATTTGTTAATTGATAGATAATGAAATGAAATGGAGGAAGAAACCTTTGATAAGTAAAATAATGCAACGTATTGTAAATATTATTCACTTAATTGATTGATAAAAATGATCGAGGTTATTATATTATAATATTTTAATGAATCAAGAATAATTTGATATATGAATTGAAAAATATTGATTAAAGTAGCAAGAAGGGGGGGGGGGGGGCAATGGGTATTTTTTTGTGAAACTTGATTTCGAGATAGCAGTTGACCAACAAACTAGGACCAGTGACCAAACTTTTGATGGGGTCCCGGACCCCAACCGCCAAACGGTGCCCGTGGGGCAGCCACGCCCATATTTGGTCCAATTTAGCCAAATACCCTGAACATGCCCAAAACCCAGGTTTATGGTGCTCTACTTGTAGCTAGTGGTCTCCTGAACTCGTATATGAAATTTCATCAAGATTGGACAAAAATGACTGAGTTATGAGCCAAAAACCTTATGCCCATATTTGGTCATACGCACCAAATTTGGTAGATTTCGTCCCATAAATTGGGCAAATATCAATATTTTTGAATGAAACTTACTTTATATGAAAGGTAAGCCTAAACTACATATTCTCTGTAAGTTATAGCTTTATATCTGTTTAAATGTGGATACTAAGGCGAAAAAAACACAAAAAATGAACTAAATTGCCTATATCTCGGTTCGCGATATTCGCGGAATTGATCTCATTAAAGTTGTAACAACTCAATCAGTTTTCAAAATTTTTGCATGAAATTTTCGGAATCGACTCGAAATCGCATTTCCACCTTATTTTGAATACGGATTTTTGATTTAGGCCTCAAAAAAATTTGGCGGCCAAATTCTGAATTTCTGTAACTAAAAGTACATACTGCACAGTACACATAATACACAGTACATACAGTACATATTACACACAGTACACACAGTACACACAGTACATAGTACACACAGTACACAGTACACACAGTACACACAGTACACACAGTACATAGTACACACAGTACAAAGTACACACAGTACACAGTACACACAGTACATACAGTACATATTACACACAGTACACACAGTACACACAGTACAAAGTACACAGTACATACATTACACACAGTACACACAGTATACACAGTACATACTGCACAGTACACATAATACACAGTAAACACAGTGCACACAGTACACACAGTACATACTGCACAGTACACATAATACACAGTAAACACAGTGCACACAGTACACACAGTACACACAGTACAAAGTACACAAAGTACACACATTACACAGTATACAGTACACACAGTATACACAGTACACACAGTACAAAGTACACACAGTACACAGTGGGCCAGAATAGGGGGTCATACTGTAATAGACCATCAGTGATCAATTTAGATCATTTCAAACATTATTTTTTACTTCAAATCAGTTGAATATTGATTTTTAAACAAATTTTGGTCCTTTATAAGTCACAGAAAAAATTTTTTGGCTCATTCCATAGAAATTTTTCATGGCTGAAATGTAGGTCTAGAGGCATCCAATTCGAGTTTTTGCTAAAGATAATCGTTGAATGTGTTTAGAATGTTTTTAAATTGATAGTCCTGAGGCTATTGATCATTTTAGTTTTTGAATTATGAAAAAATATTGATCGTAGCCAAAGTTATGTCAAATTGAAACCAGAAAATTGGGCGCGAATGCCAGAAATTTCTGAAATTTTCAGAAAATACCAGTAAAATTCCAGAAAAATAGCATTTTTTGATGATATTTCCAAAACAGACCACTTTTTAGTACCCCATAACCTCATGGCACCAGGCCACGACATTGAGAGCCAAGAAAGATGTTCAAAATGGGGTTTGTTTGAGAAAAAATAATTTTTTTCAAATCTGCAAGGTAAGTCTAAATTCCATCAAATTTGGGCCTTTTTTCAACTTTGGAATTTTTTTCTGAAAAAGACCCAAAAAAAACCCAGAACAGTTCTTCTACCATTGTTTAGAGAATCGTCTGAGCTTTCAGATGGTACCATGCATTAGTGGGGCAACCTGAGGCAAATAAACTTTTTTTGGCCAAATTTAAGCAAAAATTAGTCAAAAATGAGGCCTAAAATTGAGTGCGTGCCAAAAATTCAGCTTAAATGATATGATTACATGGTTTTTTGCATGAATTGAAGCAAAGAGAGTACTTTCACCTTGATTAGGAGTCAATATACGGTGTTTTAAGCCAATTTTAGAAATATAATGATGGGTTATGCCAATTTTGACTGCCAAAAGTGAAAAAATTGGCAGTCAAAAAATTTCGTAAATTCGCCGACGCGCTGCGCGAAAGCCATTTAATCAATTCAATTATGGTTTTTTGCATCTAATAGCCAAGATTTTTTACTGCAATACAAAACTTACTTAATTCCTTTTAAAAGAACTCAATTTTTCGTCAATTGTAGTATGGTGGCCCACTGTGCAGTACACACAGTATACAGTACACACAGTATACACAGTACACACAGTACACAGTACACACAGTACAAATTACACACAGTACACACAGTACATACTGCACAGTGCACACAGTACACACAGTACAAAGTACACACAGTACACACAGTACACACAATACACCGTACATACAGTACACAATACATACAGTACACACAGTACACCGTATACACAGTACACACAGTACACAGTACACACAGTACACAGTACACAGTACACACAGTACACAGTACACACAGTACATACTGCACAGTGCACACAGTACAAATTACACACAGTACACACAGTACATACTGCACAGTGCACACAGTACACACAGTACAAAGTACACACAGTACACACAGTATACAGTACACACAGTATACACAGTACACACAGTACACACAGTACAAATTACACACAGTACACACAGTACACACAGTACATACTGCACAGAGCACACAGTACACACAGTACAAAGTACACACAGTACACACAGTACACACAATACACCGTACATACAGTACAAAATACACACAATACACACAGTACACACAGTACAAAGTACACACAGTACACAGTACACACATTGTGCACTGTGTGAGGTAGTTTAAACTATTGGTTATCAGTGTGTCTTACTAATAAAGGTTAACCATGTAACTATTATATTAGTTTAAAATCTAATATCATTACATAATTACGACTAGTGTTATTGGATTACTAAAAATATTAAACACCACCAGCTAACACTGATTCTGCCGTAGTGGGATCCACTGTGCTGTGTGTACACTATCAATGCAAAACATTGGAGAAGATCTAGTTTTGAGATTACGAATAATCAAGCTCTAAATATCTTTTTAGGGTGTCAAGGCTTGGTGGAAATATTAGAATTTGTTTATTTATTAGTAAGTGTGTGTTTATCTTACCTCACACTGGAAGGTCCTAGAGACAGGACACTTCAGCGAGTGTTTCCTCTCCTCCCGCAGAACGTCTAGAAACTTGCCCAGGAACTCGTGTGCGTCCTGCTGTTTGGATCCTGAGGTGGTTGTTATTGGTTATTATTATTGGTTATTATTGGTTATTATTATTGGTTATTATTGGTTATTATTATTGGTTATTATTGGTTAATATTGGTTATTATTGGTTAATATTATTGGTTATTATTGGTTATTATTGGTTATTATTGGTTATTATTATTGGTTATTATTGGTTAATATTGGTTATTATTGGTTGATATTGGTTATTATTGGTTATTATTGGTTATTATTGGTTAATATTGGTTAATATTGGTTATTATTGGTAACTATTGGTTATTATTGATTATTATTGGTTATTATTGATTAATATTGGTTATTATTGGTTATTATTAGTTATTATTATATTTTGTTTCCTTAGAAACTAGGTGCTATTTGTTATATAATGTTTTTGTTAAATATCTAAATTATTTGACTGTCGAAAAATAACATTTTCCAATAATTTTAAACTGTCAAAACGTAGAATCATGTTGATTTAAACACAAATTATTTAATATACTGCTTCAGCTCCAGTAATCAATTTACCGAAAGTTGGTTTATCAGCTTTTTTTATCAATAAACTTTCAAATTGTTACACAAACACATCATTTTATTTCAAAGAAAATTCGCCGAATGACCAGTACATGCATTGACAAGTGAGCGAGTGCAAAATCGAATCTGACATTTATAATAAATTAAATAAATTCAAACATTTATTACAGGCACCGACTTTGAAAATGAACCCAAAAAAAGATACATTTCAGTCATTCATGTGAAACTTAGTATGAGATCAATTATTATGCACTTCTGTTATATATCGGTTCAGAATTTATAAACAAATATTAGGAATATCATCAAAAGCTAGGTGGAAATAAAATATTTTTAGAGTATTTTAAAACATTCTGCAGAAAACGAAAATTAAATAAATAAAAATTACATTGATGTTAAACGTACCTTTAAACAGGGATGTAGCCTCCGAGATAAGATTCTTTACTTTTACCAGAAGTTCTCTTTTCTCTTTAGCACCTAAAATCATACCATTCAATAATTGCAAGATTAGGAAAGATTATACATTGTATCATTGTGAGATATTATTTATAGCTTAAAATTACTCGATCATTTCTATATTTGTACAATCCTGTGTGTGATTAAGCCCCTGGAAGAAAGTCACATTCGTTAAAATTAATACATAACTGTGCATCATTAAGCTTAAGAATCATTATCAGAACACTTGAACAATACAAAGACAAATTAATCAAGATTCGTTGATTATCTGAAATAAACAACCAAACAATAGTTTTAGAAAAACATAAAAAGTGTAACCTCCACAGATAGCTTTGCGTTGGAGTAGAGCAGCTAGAAAGTTAAATAGAGTAGGACTGAAGGGGTTTGAAGGGGCATGAAGGAGGGTATTAAATGAGGGCACCGTCAAAACACACTGGGGAGGGGGAGATTAAAAACAAGTTAATATAAAATAGTGGTTAGTAGGCTTTAAGTAAAACCTATTATTGGTCAGAGAATTTCTTGGGAGAGAATTTTTAAACGTCCTCGAAATGAGAGAGGAAATCAATAAATAATTAATTAATTAGAAAATATTGGAATGATATGTAGATACCAGACAAACTGATTAATCAATAATTAATAATTGATAACCCAACGGCCAACAAAATTGTATCTAATTAGAAAATACCTGAAGAACACAGTTCATGTAGCATGTGTTGCCGAGATTGATGAAGCCGTGAGGTTTGGGAATGCCTGGGTATACAATACCTGCATCAGATTCACTCCCTGAGGATACAAGTTTAGGAAGCGGGGGGGGGGGGGGGGGGCCGGGGGGGGGGGGGGGCAGGGGGGCACCAAGTTTAGGAACACCTCCCAACTGAATTGACTCTCAACTACAACTAAAGTGAATTAACACTTTAACAGTTTTATTATATAGACAGGACAATTTAACTTAATGAATATTGAACTTACTCCTTCTGGGTCGATCAGGTTTAGTATCGGAACTAGTTGTACTGGAGGTTGTACTAGAAGTAGTCTCTCCGCGGGTCCGCACGTTAGCGAGTGGCTCGCGCGGGCGCAGCGTGCGCTTCTCCAGCGCTGTGGACTCGCTCTTATCACTTTCCTCACCAGGGGTGGTGTCTGATAGTGGGCTGTTGTTTGGAGCACACTGAGGGAGGGTTATTAAGTTACTAGGGGTTGCTGAGGGAGGGGTTACTAGGTTACTAGGGGTCACTGAGGATGGGGTTACTAGGTTACTAGGGGTCGCTGAGGGAGGGGTTACTGGGTTACTAGGGGTTGCTGAGGATGGGGTTACTAGGTTACTAGGGGTCGCTGAGGGAGGGGTTACTAGGTTACTAGGGGTCGCTGAGGATGGGGTTACTAGGTTACTAGGGGTCGCTGAGGGAGGGGTTACTAGGTTACTAGGGGTCGCTGAGGGAGAGGTTACTAGGTTACTAGGGGTTGCTGAGGGAGGGGTTACTAGGTTACTAGGGGTCGCTGAGGGAGGGGTTACTAGGTTACTAGGGGTCGCTGAGGGAGGGGTTACTAGGTTACGAGGGGTCGCTGAGGGAGGGGTTACTAGGTTACTAGGGGTCGCTGAGGGAGTGGTTTCTAGGATACTAGGTTACTAGGGGTCACTGAGGATGGGGTTACTAGGTTACTAGGGGTTACTAGGGGTCGCTGAGGGAGGGGTTACTAGGTTACTAGGTTACTAGGGGTCACTGAGGATGGGGTTACTAGGTTACTAGGGGTCACTGAGGATGGGGTTACTAGGTTACTAGGGGTCGCTGAGGGAGAGGTTACTAGGTTACTAGGGGTTGCTGAGGGAGGGGTTACTAGGTTACTAGGGGTCACTGAGGATGGGGTTACTAGGTTACTAGGGGTCGCTGAGGGAGGGGTTACTAGGTTACTAGGGGTTGCTGAGGATGGGGTTACTAGGTTACTAGGGGTCGCTGAGGATGGGGTTACTAGGTTACTAGGGGTCGCTGAGGGAGGGGTTACTAGGTTACTAGGGGTTGCTGAGGATGGGGTTACTAGGTTACTAGGGGTCGCTGAGGGAGGGGTTACTAGGTTACTAGGGGTCGCTGAGGGAGAGGTTACTAGGTTACTAGGGGTTGCTGAGGGAGGGGTTACTAGGTTACTAGGGGTCGCTGAGGGAGGGGTTACTAGGTTACTAGGGGTCGCTGAGGGAGGGGTTACTAGGTTACGAGGGGTCGCTGAGGAAGAGGTTACTAGGTTACTAGGGGTCGCTGAGGGAGGGGTTACTAGGTTACTAGGGGTCGCTGAGGGAGGGGTTACTAGGTTACTAGGGGTCGCTGAGGGAGTGGTTTCTAGGTTACTAGGTTACTAGGGGTCACTGAGGATGGGGTTACTAGGTTACTAGGGGTTACTAGGGGTCGCTGAGGGAGGGGTTACTAGGTTACTAGGTTACTAGGGGTCACTGAGGATGGGGTTACTAGGTTACTAGGGGTCACTGAGGATGGGGTTACTAGGTTACTAGGGGTCGCTGAGGGAGAGGTTACTAGGTTACTAGGGGTTGCTGAGGGAGGGGTTACTAGGTTACTAGGGGTCACTGAGGATGGGGTTACTAGGTTACTAGGGGTCGCTGAGGGAGGGGTTACTAGGTTACTAGGCCTAGGGGTCACTGAGGATGGGGTTACTAGGTTACTAGGGGTCACTGAGGATGGGGTTACTAGGTTACTAGGGGTCGCTGAGGGAGAGGTTACTAGGTTACTAGGGGTTGCTGAGGGAGGGTTACTAGGTTACTAAGGGTCACTGAGGATGGGGTTACTAGGTTACTAGCGGTCACTGAGGATGGGGTTACTAGGTTACTAGGGGTTACTAGGGGTCGCTGAGGGAGGGGTTTCTAGGTTACTAGGGGTCGCTGAGGGAGGGGTTACTAGGTTACTAGGTTACTAGGGGTCGCTGAGGGAGGGTACTACTAGATAATACTAGTAGATTATAAAAACTGTTGGGGTGGATCTTTTGATTGTAAGTTTCGTTTTGTTGTTAGGGATTCCTACAGAGGAAATTGGAGACATGATCGTTATTGCTGTAATAAAACAAGTACAATCCGTACTTTTTCATTTCCATTATGCTTTAATAGTGACCACTACAATATTTCTGTACAATTGCAATGTATAATGTACAATGTACTATGTGCAACACATCGACAGCTCGCAGTTTCGATCAATAGAATTCCATTCTCGTTAATACAATAAGAGTTGCAGTAAGCTATTTATTATAACGCAAGTACAGAGGTAACTGCCCACACGCAACCCTTTATCTCGGTAGAAGCGAGGCTGAGAAAACTTTCTAGGTGAACTTTTTAAAGGGCCTTAAATTTGTAAACAGCTTCTAACCGATTATTGTATAATTACATGTATATTGTATATTTAAATGTATATTGTATAATTAGATGTATATTGTATAATTACATGTATATTGTACAGTTTGTATAATGTATATTGTATACTGCAACTCTGCCAATCTGCCAGCATCAAGATATGGGCGTGAATCAGTCTCCTAACAAAAAATACAAACACACTATACTTATACTTATTTACTTATTGCTATTATGTATTACTGGGGGGGGTCCAACTACAAAAAATACGAATACGAATTTCAAATTTTAGGGGTGCGTTCGTATTTTTTCGTATTTTTTCGTATTTTTTACCAAAATTTTTTACTCTAGAAATAACGAAATATCCCAGAGAAATGGATCTATAAATCCATTGGTATTCTGCGTTGTATCTTTGTATATATACAGTATACACTGTATGACATCAGAGAAGATAAATAAGACGCAGCAAAACTGGTGAACAAATGAAAATACAATACTACGATTACCTACTAATTAATAATTGGAGTTTAGCTGCTTGTCAATCTCACGTAAGCGTAAATGTCAAAATCACTGGGATATTATCACAATTCAGATATTATGATGTATTAATTGTGATTTATAAAGGTCTTTGATGGCGATGGCTACATCACAGAATATTATTGCCAAATACGCATACTTTTAAAATCTGGTAAGTTGGGTCCCTAAAACGAAATTTAATCAGCTTCGGCTGAACCCATTATATATTATAATATATAGACTATATATATGGCACATTCATATTAATATTCTATCAGATCTTTCTTTAGATAAACTTATTACACAAAGTAGTCATGGTTATAGTAACAGCTTAAATTCCTTAGGATTAAAAATAGAGGAAAACTTCAAATTCTCCTAGTGATCTTCAAAACTTCTTTTGATAGGTAAATCTTACCATCTACATCAGACTTCACCCAAACATGATAGTTCTGATGGGTAGAACAAAAGGAGTTAGTGGGTACACGGCAGACAGACGACCTGTCAGCCTTGCTGAATATATGCGATGTTGACATGAATTGTCGAACCAGCCATTGTCACCAACAGATACACGTTTACAGTCTTTTCCAAGCGATTCACATGGCTGAGAAAGTGACACCCTGGCGATACTGTAGCCTTTGATTCTCCTTTGGCGTGTATGACCTGCCATTGATGACCGACCGTCGTTCATGAACTTCTCAGCAGCAGTATCAACATGGTACCAACGGCCGTCGGTTGTGAGAACTCCAGTTGACTGGTTATAAATATCCATTTCATCATCATCATCATTGGGAGCCTCAAGCTCAGCCTCTTCCCTGTCATCATCATCAACTAGAGTTGCAATGCACATTGTACTAGATAATGAACCATCCCTTCAAGGCCAGTTATAAGGTCCTGGAACGTTAGTCGTTAGAGCCGTGATAAAGTGTTTACCTTTAGCCTTCCACTTTTCGCAAACATGATCCCCTGAAGAGGAGGAGGAGCCAGGAGGACTGAGGAGGAAAAGGAAAAGGAAGAGGAGGAGGACTGAGGAAGACTGAGGAGGAAGGCCAAGGGGAGGAGGAGGAGGAGGAGGAGAAGGAGGAGAAGGAGGAGGAGGAAGAGGACTGAGAAGGAAGACGAGGACGAGGAGGACGACCATGAGGAGGACTGAGGACGAGGACTGAGGAGGGGAGGAGAACTGGGGGATGACTGAGGAGGAGAAGGACTGAAGAGGACTGAGGAGGAGGAGGAGGAGTAAAAGGATGATGACTAAGGAGGAGGAGGAATGAGGACTGAGGACGAGAGCGAGGACGAGGAGGAGGACGACTGATAAAAAGGAGAAGGAGGAGGAGGAGGAGGACTGGGGAAGGACTGATGAGGAGGAGGTCTAAAGACGAGGAGGACTGAGGACGAGGAGGACTGAGAAGGAAGACGAGGACGAGGAGGACGACTATGAGGAGGACTGAAGACGAGGACTGAGGAGTGGTGGGAGAACTGGGGGGATGACTGAGGAGGAGAAGGACTGAGGAGGACTGAGGAGGAGGAGTCAGGAGGAGTAGTAAAAGGATGAGGACTAAGGACGAGGAGGACTGAGGACTGAGAACGAGAGCGAGGACGAGGAGGAGGCCGACTGATAAGACGGAGAAGGAGGAGGATGAGGACTGGGGAAGGACTGATGAGGAGGAGGTCTGGAGGAGGACTGAGGAGGAGGAGGAGGAGGAGGAGGAGGATGACTGAGGAGTAGGAGGAGGACTGAGGAGGAGAAGGAGGAGGCTGGAGGGGAAGGAGACTGATGAGGAGGACTGGGGGAGGACTCAGGAGGAGGACTCAGGAGGAGGACTGAGGAGGAGGAGGACTAAGGACGAGATGAGGAGGAGAATGAAGAGGAGAAGGAGGAGGAGGATGAGGACTGTGGAGGAGGACTGAGGAGAAGGACTCATGAGGAGGATTGAGGAGAAGGACTAAGGACGAGAACGAGGACGAATATGAAGAGGACTGAGGAGGAGGACTGATGAGGAGGAGAAGGAAGAGGAGGAGGAGGATGAGGACTGGGGAGGAGGAGGATGAGGAGGAGGAATCAGGAGGAGGAGGAGGAGGAGGAGGAGGAGGACTCAGTAGGAAGAAGACTTAGGAGGAGAAGAAGGAGGAGGAGGAAGACTGAGGAGGAAGAAGACTTAGGATGAGGAGGAGGACTGAGGAGGAGGACTCAAGCCAATAATAAGCATGTGTCACGATACAAATGTACTTGACTATACATTTAAGGTGCAGTGTACTATATTAGTGATATTATGGTATGTTTAAAGACCGGACCACAAAATATAACCCGGTACCTAGTGTTGTACTAATACATAATAACAAGTTACAGGGATAAAATCAATGAGCAGAAACAATCGATTTCACAAGAGGCGAAAGCACTCGGGTCTGGGAGTACATGATAACTCCAACTAGTAGTGAGCATACTAGCCCCTGCAGTGGAAAAACACATAAAACATACTAATGGAATGTCCAATTGGTTCGTTTTCTCATCACAATATATATTAGCATACGTATTATGTAGGGGTTCTGGTTGAATTATATCACTTCTGAGAGGTTTTAGAGATCGATTCTGTAAATTTCTCATTTTTCCGATTTTTCCGATTCCGATTTTGGCCTCATCAACCCTCATATCGGAAATCGGGTTGGACCCCCCCCCCCCCCCCCCCCCCCCCCCCCCCCCCCCCCCCCCCCCCAGTTAAATGGACCAATTTCCAATAAAACATAAAATGGATCACAATATAATATCCCAAATTTTAATAAAAACCGATAAAAAGGGAGCGAATTTCAAAATGTTGTGTGGGTTCATCGTTTTGTTGTTGCACCCCCAAGTTTTATGTATGATATATGATGGTTTACATATTATTTTAATGTTTCTTCACTGCTTAGTTGAGCTTAGATCTGATTAATTACGAAGATGTGTGATCTTCTATTTATCAAAATGATGATTTGTAAAAAATACGAAAAAAAAAGGAAAAAATACGAATACGAATTTGAAATTTTAGGGGTGCGTTCGTATTTTTTGTAGTTGGACCCCCCCCATTACTTAATAGCAATCACACGTTATACATTAACAATTTCAGTGCATGACTAGTATTAATAGATATTATATTTAAACGGATACAGTTGAAAGGAGGTAATCCTGGAGATGAAATCGCCACATTATTACTTAAATCTAACAACAAGCTGCAACAAGTTTAATAATAAGGGCGTGGCCGAATGGGTGTGGCTGGACGCGGTGTTATCAGCAAGTAAATTGACAGACTGTTGCGACTAGTGCTATTTCAAGAATCCACTATAGTTTCAGATGAAACAATTTCTACAAGATCACACAGATCATTATGGTCAAATTACAAGTAAAAGCAGTTATCAGTATAGATCATAAAGAAAGTTCGTGCAGAACTTTAAGTGTATAATAAAATTGACGTAAGGGGAAGTCAAGGGGTATTTTGGGTAAATTGGGGGACATAATTATGGGGGATTTCAAGAATCCAGTCAGGCATTCCCCAAAATACCCCCATGGCTTCCCAGTTCCCACTAATAAACACTCACCTTCATGAAGATACTAGAATCTGACAGATCGCCCAGATCACCCAGCTCGAAACCCCCGGCCTCGACCTCATTACTTGTGTGCTCATCACTTATTGTAACCTCAGTTTTCACCTCCTCACTTTTAGGAACAGGCTCAATCTCCTCCTCTAGCGGGGCCAGGTTGTCATGTGTACCGTTTGTCAATTTTTCCTCGATCTCAAAATTTATATGATCTACGTTTTTGTCCACAACCACCTGCATCCCATTTGAAATACCACTGTCCAAGTTAGTTACCATAGTTACCAAGTTTGGGGTTATATTCTCAATATCTGAACTTCTTCTATCTACTGATATCACATCAACATCCTCATTCAATTTCAATGTTCTGGCAGGACTGGTTACTATAATCGTCTGGTTGCTATGGTTACCAGACTGGTTACCATAGTTACCGTTATCGTTCTCATTGTTAAGAGGAGATAAGGAATCTGAGTACAAATCCGTTTTTTCTGGTCCATCAGAGTCCAGGAGATTTCCTATGGAATCTAATTCGTCCGATACTATCGTTGATTCAATGATAGTAGCAGGAAGAAAATCAGAGTCACATTTCTCGAATTCCTGAGAGATTTCTACAATATCTGGTTTGGTGGTGTGATTGTAGCTGAAGGCCATGTCTCTGTTCCTATCTATCTTCTTCAAGGGCTCCCTAACCCCGTTATCCTGTTGTACACTATTCACTATCTTCACATGATCAGACCTCAGTTTCTGCCTGTTCCCCGTATGCCTGAACGTTGACTTTGCCTGAGCAGCCCCAATATCTAAAGTAGCCTCATCCGGTACGAAATCATAAGACTTGCTCCTCTTAACGTAGTCCTCATCCACCTCCCCACCATTATACAAAGTGTGCTGTATCCTCTGGAGGTAGCTGGAGAAGCGTCTGTCTGGGATGCTGGGGGAGGATTTTAACCGGGACCTTCTGCTGTGGAGGGTGTTCAGGGTGGAGCGTTTACAGGAGGCGGTGGAGGAGGCGGTGGAAGAGGCGGTGCCGTCACTGAGGATACGGCGCCGCTCTTTAGCCGCCGGCTCTTGAGAGGAGGGCTTTAGAAGGTCGTTCTCTTGTGAGGAGTTTATTGAACTGGAATAATTAGAATTAGTTAGAGTGGTCCCATATCCAAAAACCCGCATTCTCGCATTCTAAGAATGTAGGAAATTTTTAAAAGTAGGAAATTTTTGACAAAAAGTAGGAAATTCGAGAGCCAACTCTGAGAATTTTCGATAATATTTCAGTAGGAATTTAAGTGAAAGAGCAGACTAAAAGTTGCTGGACCGTTATTTAAATGTCCTCAGTCAGGGATCCACTGATCCAGTCTATCAAATTTCGTTTCACAGACCAAAGTTTGTTGCTATTAGCTACAAAATCTGTGCATCAAGTAACCACTAACCAGATGCTAATTATTGGGGCATTTTTGCCAAAATTATAAACTCTTGATACTTCATGCTGTCTCCTATTTCGTGCTTTAGTTAAGCCAAGTGTTTAGGGATTCTAGAATCCAGACAATTTATCCCAATAAAAATTGAAATCAGAAAATAGTATGCTAAAATCGTTCTCCATTGTCAGATTCGTTACAGGAGGCCAAATCTAGTTTAAATTTCCAAAATTTTCGGGGGCTTCGCCCCCAAAAGTAACCTAGGATTATCTATTAAAAAGCATTCTGGGCCCTAAAAAGGTAAAATTGAGAATCTGGAATCCGCCATGAAAAATCTTTGAACCGCGCGAATACAAAGACTTTTTATGCGAGCGAAGTTGAGTGGGCCACAGAAAACGAAAAAATTGAGAATGTAGGAAATTAAAAATTTTTTGGATATGGGAGAGTGGTTAATGGTTATAGATTAGACTAAGTTTATTTTCATTATTTAAATACAAAGCTAGGATTGTTTCCTTCTTTAAATTTGCAGTTATAAAGTCGCCTTTTCTTTGTCATGATGATGAGAAATATGTTAATATTTACAACGATATCTGAAAGATAGGGTAGCTGAAACCTAGTGAGCCTGCGTTTGGAGCGGCGGCTGACATCAGGGAAGCTAGGTAGAGGAGGGGAAGTAGCTGGGTAGTTAAAAGTGCAGTATTTGGGGTACTCCACTCTCTTTTCCGGGCGGCAAGTGGCTGCTGTCAACTGAAAATATTGGAAATATTAGAAAATATTAGAAATTATTAGAAAATATTAGTTATGAAAAGTGGAACTCCAACCAAGCAAATGATGGTCCAAACTTTGATTAATTGTTTATACAACATTCAAATTTGGTGAAATAGAGGTTTGCGTATTCCATTCCTGTATATTTTACAATTATCAGTTCACCTATTACTTATAAAATCGGTCGTAATTAAAAAGAATTAAATTAAAAATGTCTGTTACATTTGCTGCAGAGAAATCTAAATTCTTATAATAAACATTTCTGACGGTACTGACCTTGCCCCTGAGTTCATCATAGGAGCTCTGAGACGACACAGTAAACTCAGCTCCGCAGTTGTTCGGCTCAAACGCGGATACAACAAACTCCCGCGGCGGGGTGGAACCAGAGCCGTGCGAGGAAGCTATTGATAAGACATCTTGCGAGGTACTGTCTGTGAGAGAATGCTCTTGCGATGGCACGTCCCCGTTTAGAAGAAAACCCTTCACCTAGGATACATTATTATCAAGACTAGGATACATTATTATCAAGACTAGGATACATTATTATCAAGACTAGCATACATTATTATCAAGACTAGCATACATTATTATCAAGATTAGGATACTTTATTATCAAGACTAGCCTACATTATTATCAAGACTAGCATACATTATTATCAAGACTAGCATACATTATTATTAAGACTAGGATACATTATTATCAATACTAGGATACATTATTATCAAGACTAGCATACATTATTATCAAGACTAGGATACATTATTATCAAGACTAGGATACATTATTATCAAGACTAGCATACATTATTATCAAGACTAGCATACATTATTATCAAGACTAGGATACATTATTATCAAGACTAGGATACATTATTATCAAGACTAGGATACATTATTATCAAGACTAGGATACGTTATTATCAAGACTAGGATACATTAAATTTATCGAGACTAGGATACATTATTATCAATACTAGGAAACATTATTATCAAGACTGGTTTAACACTTTAAGTACAGTTTTTTATAGCTGTCAATAGCATTTGCTAAGCTTAGCAATTTAAAACCTAAAAAAGCTGATAAAATATTGTTAAATTGTTTCTAATGTCCCATATAATACACTTATTAATATAGTAATAACTCCTTATATAGTAATAACTCCTTATATGGTGATACTAATCTAGCTGTGTAGGTAGTTGCCAACCATTAAGTAGTGAAGGAGAGACAGGGGAGCTGCCCATGCTGTGGTAACCGCGGTGAAGTGACATTTTCTGTTTTAGTGAGGAGCGACCCTGTGTAAAACATTCATCAGCTAACTCATTAGGTTAATTAACTAACTAATTAGGTTAATCAACTAATTCGGTTGATTAGAATTTCAAGTTTACTATGAAAGTTGTTATTTACATTGTGTACAGCAGCGAAACCTCTCTATACCAGCTTTCTTGGGCTTTGATAGATCAGGAAAAATAATAAGTTCAGTGTATGGAGAGTCTCCATACACTGAACTTATTATTTTTCCTCTCCATTGGAAAGGTTCACATGGTATGACGTCATGTCACGCGGTATGACGTCATGTCACGCGGTATGACGTCATGTCACGCGGTATGACGACATGTCACGCGGTATGACGTCATGTCACGCGGTATGACGACATGTCACGCGGTATGACGTCATGTCACGCGGTATGACGTCATGTCACGCGGTATGACGTCAAGTCACGCGGTATGACGTCATGTCACGCGGTATGACGTCATGTCACGCGGTATGACGTCATGTCACGCGGTATGACGTCATGTCACGCGGTATGACGTCATGTCACGCGGTATGACGTCATGTCACGCGGTATGACGTCATGTCACGCGGTATGACGTCATGTCACGCGGTATGACGTCATGTCACGCGGTATAGAGCAGTTTTACTGCAGTTGGGGGAATGAAGCGTGATTTACTTACCGACCCAGCAGAGCTGCGATTAAAGTGGTTTTTAGTGGCTGTGGTAGGTTGTTCCTTTTCTGGAATCTCTTCCACGTCAGCCTCGTTTATGACTCGGGTTTCTTCGATGCTTGCAATGCATCTGAAGTATCAAGAGAGTACGTGCCAACTGCCAAGTTAATTATTAGTTATTAATTTAATAATTTACTTAGTTATTAATTTAATAATTAACTTAGTTATTAATTTATTAATTAACTTATTGATTAACTTATTAATCAACTCATAAATTATCATATGAAAGCTTCCAAAGCACAGTACAACTAAACTTCACTAATTCTTCACAATGTGTTTCACTCTTAATATTGTATACCTAACTGGTGGAGTAATACAGCCAGCATCTAGTGCCCTGTTACTCCCAGCGAAGCTGCGTCTGATCGCCTTGTGAGCATCAACAAACTCAGCGCTCTCCAAACTACCCAGACTTGAGACTGAACGGTCGTCAAAGTGCTCGAATGTGCTCCCTCGTGAGGAAGATTCGGGAGAAATATCAATAATGATCGGTTTGTCAACTCCAGTTCCTGAATTAGTTGGTAACCAGTGGTAACTAGTGGTAACTAGTGGTAACTAGTGTTGTGAACTTACAATTTAAGTCATTGATTAATCGATAAATATAAATTAGCTTATAACTGCATTATACACACATATACACAGGGCACACGCAGTTTAGTTAGGTGCTAATTAGTTAGCAATTAGTAACTAATAACTTAATAAGTAACTAATTAGTAACTTTCCTTTTAATTTACGATAGCTCTTCGTTGTAACAGGGGAATCTACAAGCAACAATGTTTGATAAAATGTACCGTTGTAGGTTGGCTTGGTGTCAATGTCTTGAAGCTTCTCCTTCAATTTCTCATCTTTAAGTTTTTCAATCAGATCAGGGTCAGTTTTGTTGTTGAAACAAAAGTCAAGAACTTTTGCAAAATATGTTGGATCGGAGGGAAAATCCTTCAGTTTCACCTGAACAAAAATATAAATGATTGACTGCATTATTGGAAAGAAAATTGATATTAAAACACTCAAACATTCATAAGATTTTGGAACCACCAATCACTGTGAGTAGAATTTTGCACAGGTTGTGACTTGTTATTAACAATGTTGGATTGGGAAACTAAATCGTATAACTCTAACCTGATTTGTGTCATCAAATTCAATGACAATAAACCCAATCTTGTCACCCCTCTTCCTCACTGTTATCTTGGTCAGTTGCCTGACAATACTGTATTTCCTAGGAAAATTACGCTTGTGCAGGACAACCAAACACCACAAGTCAGTGACATCAGCGTTGTCACTTGCACAAAGGTACACATCGCCCGGTGTAAAGGGGATTATGCTTCCCTCCGTACTGAGTGACACTGAACAGGTCGTCTGGATAATGACTTGGCTGCTATCCTCCATAACATTTTTACCTCATCCTAAGAAATAAGTAAGTAGAATGTAAGTTTGGTGAAGTTAACATTTTAACTTGCAAATTAGAGAGATTAGTTCCACCAAGAAACCGACAAGAAAATATCGTGAAAAGCTTCAAGTTTACAGAGATATAACAGGTTGAAATGTAACTTGGTAAAAATATTCAATGGGATTGTATTGTGTTTTACCTGCCATATTTTTAAATCAATACTGTTGTTATATTTTGCCATCCTCTGTATTTTACAGTTCAGATAGATTTAAAGATTTAAAGCTAAGTTAGAAATGATGGATTCCAGGCATCAGTTTATCTAAGATACAATTGGTGCATTTCAAACTTGCCAGCATTTTGTGGTAGCAGAGAAAAAGAATTTCATCATTTATATTCTATCCTTAAAAGGAAAAATAAGTGTCAATGAGGCATAACTAAAAGACGCAGCGCCATGGCACTTTTGTTGATGTAAGGATGTCAGTTGTGTAAGGATGTCAGTCTTCCAGTACGAAAAAAAACGAAGAAATACCTGCAACAAGATACTGGAAACAGAGTAAGGATCATTTGAACCTCTTGTCTTCTTGACTACAGGAGGCCCAGGACCAAGCTGCACGAAGATCATAAAGAGGGTGTGGTAGCAGGCCAAAATATCAGATAAAAGATATGAGGAATATGGTCACGTGATAGGTTTCATAAATCAAATGCTTGGATGTTCCAGCCAGTGTTTTTTATAATAAACTAGAAAGTTCGTGGTAACAGAGATGAAGCTAGTAGTGTTCTTTGAAAGCTAGTTTTATTTGCATCAAAAAATTGTCATCTTAACTGAAGATACAGCTGATTTAAATGTGAAACACTTTTAACACAACGTTATTGCCACAAAACCGATCAAAATGCTGTTCCAGCAATCTTTGCACGTGCATGTGCGCATTACAACACTGTTGCTATGCAACCTTTCCGTTTATAGCTAACTTCCTATTTCTCATCAAATTTGTATGTGGGCGGTCATACAAACGAAAAATGACAAACAAACATAATCTTTTGAATTATAATAATAAATATGAGTCATTATTGAAAGTGCAGGGTTTACTGCATCCATTGTATTGTTTTAATCATGAAACTTCGAAATTGAGGGGAAGCCATGATTATGGATTGGCTTCCTATTTCGGACAAATTCTTTTGTACTGGTGTTTTCAGTTCCAGTTCTGGATCACACTAAAGTTGCGTTTCAAGAGTACAAAATATTGATTGAAATAAATTTTCGTGCACATACAGAATGAATGGTTAATAATTTAATATATATGTAGACCAAGGTCTGTGCACGGGATGCTTCCTGGAAGAATCCAAAATATTAACTGTACATGGGGTCATCATAAAAAATGCTTTGACTCTGATGCACAAGATAACTTACATGCTTGGCCTTCTGCTATCGTCGATAAAAGACTTATTCCCTTAATAATAATGATAATAAATTAAAGTTATTTTTATACAGCACCAAAAGGTTAAATAATTGAAATTTAACCCCTATTCTCAGCTGTAAATGATACTTAAATGACAGTAGAGATTGTGCATCTCGCCTTGGACGGTGGTGAAACTATCAAGAAAACAGGTCCTATATTAGCTATTACCAAGCACAACATTAGTCACATAACTTGCCCATCTAGTATTTTCTCAATAAGCATCAGGAAACAATGAAGAATGGCCACCTCATCTGTTACATTATTTACCCGGGCTACGTAAATCAACAAGATCACACACCGTCACAATTGACGTTGCATCCCCCCCCCCCCCCCCACACAACATATCAATGGGCCATTGTTAGCCCCAAGCGTTTTAGTCCGTCATTCCTGCCACTCAGCATTGCCTACTGCAAAGTAGAAATTTTTCTGAGACTATAGAGAAACTGACCTTGTCTCACTAAATTCAACCACTTTCCATAATAAAATACTAACAAATAAAGTTTTTTGAATAATTATATTCAACCACTAAAGAATATTTCCTCAAGTTTACTTCTATTTAACTAATTCGTGGTTTAAGATTTTATTTATGAAAGGAATGTAAAATAAAACTTATTGTTTCATTGAACTACCGAGAATTACCTGCGGAATAAATAAAAGTAGATGATTAGCTCACTAGTTTTAATACTTTCAACACTACTATATAACAAATAATTTGAGGGTCATCAACTCTGAAGTCCTAATCCCCTCCAAAACAAAACACTTAACGGGAGCCGACCCCAAGTCGGATCTATTTGGTCAGTATTACTTATATTTGATTTGAGAATGGCGACAAATAGGAAGAATTCAGGTACTCCTAAAACATCTAATAGCTTGTCTCGCAACATTTTAGCTGAATCTACAGTGGACAATGAAGATCAGGAAAACAGGAAACATAGGGACAAGAAGAAATGTCCATGTCAACGCTCTTTTAACGGTAAAGTTTACCTCATTGACTGTTCTAAGTGTCATCAAGAGTGGCATGTGGACTGCCTGTCTATGAAGGGTATAACGAGGTCAGCTATCAACTCCATGGTAGAATGGCTGTGCCCATACTGCTTCGTGGCACCAGTATCAACACTGAAGAAACAGAGAGGTGAATTTTGTTACAGCTGCAGGAACACAAGGGCTTTGCAACAGGCCAACTCAGATTTTGAAGCATCTACAGCTGTTAAGAATCTCGAAACTGTCAGTGCACTCGTGGCATCAGCAAGCTCAGCAGGCTCAGCTCTTGAAAAATTTGACTTCGAACAGTTCTCTAGGAACCTTGACACTCTCTCCCAGTTCGACGTTCACCTTCAACACCTGCTTCTTAAAGAGAACTCCCTTAATGGGCTAAATAATGAAATAAAGCTTCAGGACAAATCATTAGAATCAATCAATACTAATATTGCCGAACTTCAGAAGGACCTGAAACTTCTGTCATCCAGACCATCTACAGAACCATCCTCACCCTCAGCTTCATCTGAGCAGTTTCTGAAGGACATCTCTGAACAGCTCACTGTAATCTGTGCCAATGAGCACACTGCAGCTGCAGGCATAAGTGAATTGAAACAATCCTTAGACTCATTACAGCCATTGCATAATCCTGGCCCCTGCATTCCTCCCACCCCATTGCATCCAGGACCTCCTACTCAGCACCTTCGTTCTCCAGTCCCTACAGTCCCTGTGCAGCTACCCAATCATGAGCAGAAACCTGTGGAAATGTTCAAAGATGACTACATTGATCAGCAAACAGCAAATGATTTAGGAGAACTTTTTGTTAAGGACAGCAGTCACTTCAAAGTTGAGAACGACCGCTCCTGCCTAACATATGGGGAAAGGTATGATTACCCAGGTTCCAAGTCATCTGAAAAGCCACAGGCAATACCATCGGTTCTCAAGGAACTCATTGACAAAATCAATAATGAGTTCTGCCAGGGCGATCTACCTCAGATCAACAGCTGCTTAGTAAATCGGTTTGAAGGAACAGACAGCAAGCTACCTAGACACTCTGATGACGAGGCTACCATCCATCCAGAGTCTAAAATATTTACTGTCTCGCTTGGTTCTGCATGTCAGGTTTCTTTCTCTGACTCTCACACAGGCACTGATAAGCACAAGCAGCAATGTGACCCACGGTCCTTGTATGTTATGACACGTCATAGCCAAGCACTGTTCGACCATCGTATTGATGCAGGTGATATAGAAGGGCTACGTTACAGCATCACACTTAGATCCGTGAATTCGTTGAACAGAAATGCCACATGCATCATCGGGGATTCAAACACTGGAGGCTTGAAATTTGGTACTGATCCTGCTAAGTCATTCGGCAAGTGGTTACCTGGCAAACGCATCTTCGCTCCGGTCATTGATAATATAGATCCTTATGTCACGTTGGGGTATAGAAACTGTGTAATATTGTGCGGGGTCAACGACCTCAAAAACGAAGACGTCAAGAACCAACATGACATTGAAATTATTTATAACGCATTAGCTTCAAAGATTGCACAGATACAATCTGTCAATCCGTGTATACATGTTTTTGTTTGTCCAGCAATTCCCTCTAAACGTGCTGACTTAAATAGAAAACTTATATATTTTAACAGTTTGATTCGACGTAGGCTGCTCCCGTCCAATTTTGGTGTCAGTTATGTGGATGGATTTGATGAGTTCTGTGATAGAGATGGTCTACTTGACCGCTCTCTCTCTCGCGACCTCAACAAACACCAAAAACCAGACTTCCTTCACCTCAACTGGAGGGGACTAGCAAAGTTAGGTCAATTTATTCGTAACACTGTTCTTCTCAGGATTAACGGTGGTATCGACAAAAGGAAGAGGAGGTCCACAAAGGTAGACAGTAGATCCTTCAGGGATGTGACTGCTGGAAGAGAAACTGGTCCTGTTGTTCCTGCTGCTGCTAGTCAGGGTCACGTGGATGGCTACCAACCACATGACTCCCCTCATTAAGGAGGTATGTCTTGTCTGTTCTAAGAACATAGTCATCGGCCAAACAATAGTTGAATGTTTCCACTGTGACTGCATATTGCACCATAAATGCTATCGCAAATCCAATACAAATAGCCAATCTAATGAGTTTTACTGTACTCGTTGTATCCATTTAGACAAGGTTAAATACAACCCATTTAAACTACTCACTGACAATGACAACGACGACAACAACCTAGACGAATACACAACCAAAATCTCGAATACTTTAAATAATTGTAACTCATACACTGCATCTGACCTTACCAATATTCTCTGCAACCAAGTAAAGAAACAATCATCTATTCTCTTTCAAAATATTGATGGAAATAAATCAAATTTTGACAACCTTGCCATTGAAACCTGTAGGTACAAAACAAAATTCTCCGTAATAGGCCTAGCTGAAACCAACACTGGGAAAGAATTAAGCAACCTATTTCAGCTCGACGGTTATAATAGTTACTATCAGGACACAGCACCTAACAAACAAAAGGGCACTGGAGTAGCCCTTTATGTTGACGATAGATTAAATGCTACAGTAATTGAAAATATATCACA